ATCTAAATCATATCTTACTAGTAGTATAAATGCAAAAGTTTAGATAGATGGATGGATGTTTGTTAGAGTTTGTAGCCTAAACGGCTCAACGGATTTCGATGAAATTTAGTAGAGATGTAGAGGATAGTCTGGAAGAACGCATAAACTCACTTTTGCTTTTTTAATTCCACGCGGACAGAGTCGTGGGCGAAAGCTAATATATTTAGAATATAAAGTAAGTATAGTAACATTTTTAAATCAAAGGTCGCCTTTTTTCCTGCTAAAATACTTATTAAAGGACTCGTTTAACATTCGAGCTAGACGAGATCTGAATTCCAGTAAGCAAGGAATTTCGTAGTTCATCGGAATTTGCCTTTGAACGTTGAAATCGTGCACTGGCGCATATTGACACAAATTTTATTTGACGTTTTCAATTTTTCGTTTCTGTTGCACTTACAACTCTTTCCGTACGAATATTGGGTTACAGACTGCTTTATAGAGTAAAAGCAGAATAAAATTAAATTTTGTACTACCGTGGGTTTAATTTTGAACAAAATAGATCTTAGTTGAAAATTAAATACACACTCGTTCCATTTCACTCCCAAGAGAATACTTTCAATATCTCTGTAATTGTTGATTAAAATTTAACATAAGTTTGAGTCAAACGGAAGATCTTAATTAAAATTAACATTATTGTTTTCGCACAACAGTTGTGCGATAGTTTAGTCAAAGGTGTGTGCGCCCTCTCTTACAACACATTTGTGAAAGCCGTATCCAAATCAGTTTATCCTCTTAAGAGATTAATACGCACGGACTCGCAGACAAGGAACGAATTGATAATATTTTTAACCTGTCAACATTTTTTTTGAGTTCTATAGCGATGAAGACCGCTGTAATATTCTCTACGTATTATTCCGTCTTTGATATTATTTTATTGTTTATCAAATAGCAACTATAAAATGGCTTTTAGTTCTTATTACTTTAGTAAGTAAAAATAATTATTTATATTTTGCCAATTCAGTAGGGATGGCATGTGCAAAGTCATAGACGTTGGTATCGATAGATTCACGTCGTCTCTATCACTATATTCACTATTAGATTTATACCTTTATTTAAATAATAATGAAAAAAATAATTTAAGTCCTACATTTTTTTATGTTTAACCCGAAAATCGATAGTTCATAGCTATTCGCTATATGCTTATGTTCCGTCACTATGATACTTGTCTATTAAGTGCAGTATTTTCATACAAATTGTATACTTCATATGCGAATAATTTGAAAATCATCTTTAAACCACAAAGTTTAGCATTATTCGTGTACAAAATTCTAAAATACATAGACGTTTCTGGCGTTCGAATTAGTTATTCATTAAGGCGTAGCGGCAACGCATCCAGTATTCGCCTGAACCTTTGATTACATATTACAGGCATATAATCAAAAGCCCGTACGATGTCTGCACGTCTATTAACGTATTAAATATTAGTTAATACTACCATGTGCAAACTAGCCGTTCTAGAATTTCACAAATTAAACGATATATTACTTAAAAATTATATTAAAAGCAGGCCTCTACGATTTATTAGCGCTATGGAAAGTGCCCTTCAATGCGTTAATGACTGAACATATTTTGATGAAATTTGATACAGATGTAGAGGATAGTCTGGAAGAACACATAGGATACTCATTTGTTGACCGACTTCCCAAAAGAAGAAAGTACTCAATTTGTCAGTATGTTTCTTTTTTTTTTAAGTGTGTTACGGCATAACTCCGCTGCTAGTTGACCGATTTTGATAATTTTTTTTTTATCCGAAGGATAGTATTTGCAGATGGGTCCCATTTTTTGTTTGATTTTTGGAGTCAAAGACTACGACGTAGTTAAATAGTTAAGCTCAAAATCGCGCGACGAAATTTGGGGTCTTTTTTGCTTTCTTTGCTTACGTAGCCTAAACTATAAGACTTGCATAAAAAAAATATGAGAAAATTGTAGCCCTTTAAATTTTCTAAATAAAAGTCCGCGATAGCATATGTCTAACTATTAAGGTTGTCGCACAATATTCACTTTTTTCATTAAAATATCGATCGAAATCTATACCCCACTTTCAACGCTATTACTCGTCTTCGGTATGAATCCTTATCCAAATAAATGTGTTTTCACGATAGGGTATTAAATGTAGATCATAACTGCCTTTGACAGTATGTAATTCTGACCTAAATTCTAGAAGGTATCAAAATATTAAAACTCACGGGCAACAGCGGCGCGCGGCTGGACAGAATTATGAGTGAATGGTCGCAACGATGTATTAGATCTTTACTTAATTTCTTATATAATCGATTTAGATAACTCATTCTTTGTTTGAAAGCTAGTGATTATCATACTGCGATGTTTAGATTCACTAAAAATCGAGAAATAAATAAACTTTTTAAGAAAAAAACAAAACCTGCTTCCAAACAAAATACACTAAAAACAAAATATTCTCAAAAAAAACAGTACACTGAAAACGAAATAATTCCTTAAAAATAGTAAACCACCCTTATTGTAGCTGTTATGTCTATATTGTACAATTATTATTACTTTGAATAATTATTACTTAAGTATAGAAGTAGATTATACAAAATACATTCTCTATCTTAAATTATAACTGCAATTGAAGGCTTAAGTTAAACTATGACTATTTCGATTTGCTACATATCGATTACAACGTAAGGGCTGAAAAACTGACTCTATAATTACCTTTCTAGTTAAATCAAAATTGCCCTCGTCTATCACTAGGTAGCTATTAAAATAGCTACTACCCAATTAAAATCGTCCGAGCCATGCAAAGCTACACGAAGTTATTGCATAGGTGATCTTTTATGCATTCCTCTTAACTCTAGTCCGCTCAGTAATGAAAAAATGCAGATCTTAAAAAAAGAGAGAGCTTTATTCAGTTTAAACTTCGTGTTATTCCTAAAACGAAAATTAACATACACCCTACAATCTTAATATTTGATAGACTGAGTTATTAATCACTTACTACTATAAAAATCTTATAAAGTTAATTGAAAATACATTGTGATTTACTAAGTTTATAGACATAATATAACAGTGCCTTTGCGAAGCTCTTGAAATACTTTATAATATCTTAAATGTTTAGCGCATTTTCTTTGTGAGGTATTTTAAAAAGAATGTCCGGTTGAGATTGTTTCTCTTTATTTTTATCACAAATATCTATCAAATCCGTGAAATAAATTTTATATCTATTTTTCACTTTTATAATCCCATCTTACTTTATCTACAGTTTTTAAATACGCGTATGTATCTGCGGGCAAGTGTTCACGTACAGCTGTAGAACTGTAATCATTAATGCCGGTAGCAAATTCCCGATAAAGTTAACCGGAAATGTACTTAAACAAAGTTTGATATCAAATTAGCGGGGATTTGGTTAGATATGGCGGACCGCTTAGCAAACAGAATCATAAACATACGGAGTTCGCAATTCTGTTTTCCGATTCTTTATAGTAGAGGAGACTTTTTCGATTCCAAATGGCTTTGTGATCATCATCATCCTGCCCGTGTTCGTACGGAGGATCGGGACAGTATGTGCTGCTCTGCCATTCATCTGAATCTATCAGCTGTCATATCTGAATTCACTCCTTCCTTAAGCATATCCCCTTGCACAAAATCCATCCAATACTTCTTCTTTCTTCTTCGGTCTTTAAGCTTGTAGCCAACCATATTCAATTTTAATATTTACTAGTTCATATCCTTATTATCTTGATGCATGATATGCGACTAAGCGAGTGTGTACTTTTAAATACACAAATTACACACTAGTGCATATACGTGTAAACTACCTTTTTAGATAAGAGGGGTGGCGAGCGACGCCGCAGGTCACGAAGCTCCCTTTATTGGATTACAATTTTGTCCTAGGGTACTGACATTGAAAATTACACGATGTTAACTATATCCAAGATATTTCCCCTCAGGTTTTGGTTGTAGATAAAATAATAATGGAAATAATAAGTACTACGTACAACAGGAATGAGTTCTATCTGTACATCTTGCAGTTAAAATAAAGGAAATAAAACCTCAGGGCGTAAGAGTGTTGTTGCTCGCAAAATAAAATTGAAGCCGAGTGAGAGGGCTACAAGTGTCCGCTGTGTCCCTTTGTAATAGAGACTTAGAGTTGCCAGATATCAATCCTTTCGTTGATTGTAGAAAAATGGGCGATTGATGTAATGCAATGAAGAAAAAATGTTTACTTCTAAAATGTTTTTAAATTTTAGCAACTAATACTTTATTTCCGACATATTAAAGCAGTTTTATTTGTTGTTAAAACCCTATTAACGCAAAAATGTTAAGGTTGGTGTAGGAGTTTTCTTTTATTTTTTTGAAATTCGTACACCTGAACTTACAGCCCCACATGACATTCCGACTCGGACGTTAATGGCGGAGTCTTTTGATTTCGTGATATTTTTGAAGAATTTTAGTTAAAATGGGAAGAATTTATGTCGTGGTGGCTTTCCGACGGGATTAATACAATGATTGTGGGTTATATGTATTTTTACAGCATTAAAACATAATTTGTTGGCCATGAGTTACGGTGACCATGCATGACTAACCAGTCCTAGTTTGCGGCATACACTTCACAAGACTCTTTTATTTAGCAATATCTGATATAGAATGGTGTATATTGTATAGTTTTTGGTAAACACATTAATGATAACAATAATACAATAAATTCTATCTGAAGCAATAATCTGCTGACGTCTGACAACAAAAACAAGATTTTGTTATAATTACCGTCCTTAAAACATAATTCAACATAGTCACCATCGGTAGAGAGGGATAAAAGGTACAGTTATTGAGGTCTCGCTCGGCTTCAATTTTGCGACAATAGCTCAATCCTGTTCTAATAGTACATCCATGATAAACACATTTTTTTTTCTGCCAGGTTTAAAATATATGAAATACAGAACAAACACGACGAAGATTCTTTTTTGACAGTAATTAAAACTATTTGCACACAAATTGACGTAATAGAACAAATAATTTAAAAAGGTGATTGACGGCAAAATTTCATAATTCCTTTTGTCATCGTATACATATTTAATGAAAACAATGCTTTCTTTGCTTATGAAAAATTGTCATGGTCCAGGACTTGGTCTTGCTAGGATCCTTAATAAAAAATGGTAAGTTTATTTTAGTAAATTTATAAATCGTCATTAGACCACTAAAGCCTACTTTTTATATCCAAAGATCAGAAATAACGACGCAAGTTACATTTATTTATGACCCGTGACTCAGTACGCGCGATAATAAACAAAAAAAAGAAGCAAGTACCTGTGTTCTTAGTGACTTTGTTCTACATCTAAATGCCAAATTTTATTAAAATCTGTTAAAACGTTTAGGCAGAAAACTCTAATAAGCATCCATCCATTAACTTAACTTTCGCATTTATGTATATGTATATATATATATATATATATATATATATATATATATATATATATTTATGTATATCTTATCTATATCTTCTATACATTAAATAAAACTGAAGTGTCTGTTTGAAACATCAAAAGAAAAATTCCAGATTCTGGTAAGATAATGTATTTGCGTTGCTGACAACGAAAATACATTTAAACAATTTTTGTCTGTCCGCAAGCCGCGTTTGTTCCGGGTAATCTCCGAAACGACTGGACCTGGTCGACTTTCACTGTAGGGTAGCGGATATAGACGGGCATATATGCTACTTTTTTTAATTTCGCGCTACCAAAGTGGCGACCGGACCCCTATCTTTGGAGCGGGTGGACCGATTTGGACGAGACTTTGACTGAAAGATAGCTGGTAGAAGTTAGATGCTCGCAGGAATGTGATGGATGACTTTTTTTTAAATCCGCGCTAATGAAGTTTGCAGGCGACAGCTCGTATACTATTTTTCAATACTTCCATAATTTAGTACGCAAATATCGAATCGGATTTTATATCTCTCCCTTTAAAGTACGTATACAGAGTTTTCAATGTTCTATCCATTTGCCAACCTTTTACCGCCAATGGAATCAGATTCCAATATGCATTCATCTGTTGAAAATATTCGCTACTATGATTTTACACAGACAACGAATGATATCATCATCCACTTGCCCTTATCCCTTACGGAGGGTCGGTACAGTATGTGTTGCTCTTCCATACAGCCGTCATATCTGAATCCACTCCCTTCTTAACCCTATCTTCTTTCACACAATCCATCCATACATACATTCAATCTTAACACTTTCTGGTTTATGTCACCATCGTTGCGTCGCATACCATGTCACAATGCAATACGATAATATGCTTATGATGTCAGTTAAGTAGTTAGTTAATTCAGGTATGACCACTGATAGATATACATATAGATGATAGTTTTATGTACCGTATCTCCGTAAAATAAAAGATAGATAGGTATTCTGAGGCTTACAATTAGTAACGAAAACATACATTGATTACCGTGGCATCATAAACAAATAGGGTATTGCGTGAATGTACCGTAGGATAATTGAACGAGGCATGCATGAATAAGCTTTGTGGGGATATTCAAGTGTAGCCCGTGAATAGACCGTCGAAACCGCATCACATGTGAAAACCCGCGAGTGCAGACAACATAGTTAACATTACTTCGATACACGGTTCTATTTTTGTTCATATCCATACATGTACATATATGATACAGTTGTGAGCCGAGTTTTGATTGAATTTAATAGACCAAAACTTAATATCAATAAGGTCTGGCAATTTACACGTTTCCGAATTTTTCAAGGAAATTTTGGGCATGGGTTGATTTAAAAGTAAATTTGGCGATTATTTTTAAACTTTGTTGGAATCTAACTTTATCTCGGTTCTCCGTTTTTATCTACCTATATCTATTCCATATATTTACCAAATTATGCCTGTTCATTATTAATTGGCTTCCAAAAATTGGAGGTTCTCAATTCGTCTGCATATTTTTTTATTGAATACTTATATTTATAAAAAATAAATCAAAACGTCTTAGTCAATACCTATCTAGTGTAGATAAGTGTTGACGTATTGTGTTTTATTCTCATACGAAATGCATTTTGTGGGAAAATAACAACTAAAAAGAAAATTAATTTTTAATTTAGTTTTGCGAATGTGCGCGACATTGATAGTGTTGCAAGGAAATGACAAATTAAATAATTGCAACCGGATGATTCACGGTACAAAGTACAGACAACACTTGAATAAATGAATTACCGTTAATCCTGTGATATTTCAGCTAACGTAAATTACCTCTACATTAGGCTGCAAACATAGTTGATTTCCAGCCGATTTTCGGACGGTATTCAAATTGCATCAGTCGAATGCAATCAACATTACAGATTATACGAGCGGACTCACAACTCTATATGTGGTTTTCCACTGTAAAATACATCGAAAAAGACACCTCTATTTCATTATCTTTGAAAATTCAGGGTTAATATCAATAAAATATCCTAAAATAAACGATTTATGGTCGTAGCAATAATTGGTGGAAACTCACCTTAATGTTTGTTAGTGTACATATCACTGTATTCACCTCGACGCGCCAGAGTTAACAAATTGCATTTAGTTTCTAAGTTTGCGCGCGCCAGACGGGTTAATTAATATTTTAGTGTTACTGTATATCGTACAGTTGAATTCCACTGCCGTGACACATGTAATATCACGTAGTTCTATTTCTTTTTACCAAACAATGAACGGGACGACAATATTTTTATACAAATATTTCAACACTCAAAACCCCAGTTCGTTTTATAGTTTGTTAATTGACCGAGCTCCCAAAAGATGGAGCTACTTAATATATCTGTTTTTATTTTGGCAGATAGAGTACAATTTAATGGAAGTGAATAATTAAATTAATATAAGCGTGTTTGTTCATTCCCAATATGTGATTACAGCCTTATAAAGGTAACATCCTTTAGAGATACGTTTGTGATCATTTCTCTTTTTACTTCAATTCGACTAGATATCAGTTAAAAGAGTAGAAAAGTAAAGCTGTGCTTTTTGTTTATATGAAATGGAGAAGAAAAATAAGAATGTATTTGTCATGCACATATAAAATTAAAACTAAAGGCAATATGGACCCTTTTATTAATATCTTACCACTTAATATTACCCTTATGAAAAACCCGAGCAAAGTTTTTTTTCGTAGAAAGAGAGACAAAGATTTGACAAAAAAACGGCGACACCTCACGTTTAAATAAAATACAAACGTGCAGTTAATTTTTTGCAGAAAGTAGAAGTTAATGAATTAAAAAAGGATACTTAAAGTACATTAATATGTAATTTGATCTTGTTTAAACACGTTTATAATCTAATAAATTTTATATAATGGCGTATATAAAATTGATGTGGTAATTTAAAGTATTTTTTTTACAGTCAGTACCTTATGATGTTCTTTAAGTACTTCCGTAAATGTGCGGACGTTGTACAAAGGATTATAAAGCAAGTTTATAAGCAATATTATTCAATTTCTATTTAAACTTCAATAGTAGGTCCATAATAAAATTCGTTTGAAATGGATCTCATTCTAATGGGTCTTGTTACGACTGTAAAAGAACTTTGTTAACGACAATGGAATTCGAATTTGAAAAAATCGTATCAAAGTGCACTCTGATACTGGAGGAATGCAATCAGTGATGCTCAGACCGAGCAAAGTGCGCAAAGGCCAACTCGATTAATTGATCGTCACTACCACCCGGAGCCTCTTCCGTTAGGCGATGTACATTTTTAATCGAGACACGTACAGCCCCGGCGTTATTATACACTGACACCTAAAAATATCATCCTATAGTATAATACACCAGTCGTAGACTCGTTTTTGACACCAAGAGATTTTTAAACAGCAATTATTTTAAATATTTCTATATTTATATTAAAATCGGAGTGTCTCTGTCGGGAAGATGATGCTTATACATACATTTCTGATAACGAAAATAGCAGTTAAAAACTTTTTGTTTTTCTTTATGTCCGCAAGTCGCGTTTGTTTCGGGTAATCTCCGATTTCGACAGGACTTTCACTGAATCGTAGCTGACGTAGATGGGCATATTATGGGCTACTTTTTATTACTATAAATGCGAAAGTTTGGATCGGTGTTTGTTAGAGTTAAACCGATCTCGATGAAATTTGGCACAGATGAACCTAGTCTGAAAGAAAACACAAGCAACTTTCTTTTATTTTTTTAATTGACGCGGATGGAGAAGCTGGCGAAAGCTGGTCTATATAAAGGTAAATTGTTAATGGTGGTGAAGTACAAATTTTCATTGAAGAGCAATTACTTTAATAAAACTTCATATTTATAAGTGCTGTAGATAAATTATGTGATTAAAGAATTGATTTTGTACACATTTTTAAAGAATACAGTTGTTAAATTAATGCACCGTCGCTTTGTTGAGAATCTGACTGCAACTTATTAGAGTGGGCGCACACTTCTACTAAACTATCGCACAATAGTCGATAGTTTCGCAGCCAATTCAACAGTTTAGTTGCACAATTAAAAATCGAGTAGTGTGCGCACCTCCATATAAGCTCATAGAAATCAAAGCGCGATTAAACAGTTGTGCGATAGTTTAGTCAAAGGTGTGAACGATCTTACTGTCCCTTCTTATATTAGGGATAATTTCACAGAATATCTTGAAAATACTAAAGCAAGCTTATATTATTTAGTTCATTAATCTTTGTTGGAAAAGGAGGATTTATAAATAACAAAAGCTCTGCTGAATCCATTTGCCCTTTTCGAGCTTTGTTGATCTTCCAAATAAATTTATCGCAGTCATTTCAGTTAGCTTTTATTCCTAGAAACATGTTTTTCTTTATATAAAAAGATTTCTTTTAATTAGTATAGAACTTCATATATCTTTATAAACCTTTAGTAAAATATACATATCTGTATCTAAATTGAAAAAGTATAAAAAAAAGGTTTAAACCGTATTTTTCGTTTCAGTATCTTCTATCAGACGACGCCGTGTCTACAACAGGTTACATACTTCGCAATGGATGCCTGCGGCAAGAAGGGTGCCGGTGGTGGCAAGAATACTATAACGTACAAACCTTACACCCCTCCGCAGTACAAACCGCACGACAAAAAGAATATGGATCTTAATAGACCGATGTCCCCTCATCTAACAATTTACGCGCCCACACTGCCTGCAATGACATCTATAGCCCAGCGAATCACTGGTAATAATCTACATTAAATAATTACGCAAGTGTAGCCAATATTATAAATGCAAATGTTTAGATGCACGTGTGTTATGTCGCGTCAAAATAGCTGAACAGATCTATATGAAATTTCACACAAATAGATTCTACTGTTATGAAACTCATGAGCTACTAGCTTTTCGTACTCACTGCTGAAATTCATTTCATTAATAAAACTAAAATGTCCTGACTACACTTGTGAACAGGAATCGAATACCCATTTGTCAAAATTGATCTAGCCGTTTTTATTTTAGGGGCTATAATGACGACGATTGTGTTATACTTATTGCCAAATTCAAATGTCCAGTCATTTACTGTCTACAAATGATTACATTGATTTTATTTTCTAGTAAGTCTGTGATTAAATCTACACATTGTCATTAAAATTGAATCTGACTGTAGCTACACGACAAAAATATTACGTCCTGTCAGATGAACGAAGAGCCATGGGTATAAAAAAATTTTTTAGTTGACTTTAAAATTTTGTTCATTGCATAATTATGAACGATATCTTATTAAACACGTTTAATTAAAAATAAATAAATGGCGTCTTCTAACTAAACACGAAGAAACCGAGTAACCAAGCAAAGTGTTGACTATGAATTTTTTATTTATATTTTCGATTGAAAGTAACTTGATAAAAGTTTCCTTATTTATGTTTGAGACGTCATGTCCGAGAAGTTGCAGAATGAAGAACGCGTTTGCAATTTCCGCCGAGGATACGACTGATATCTCGCGAAATATCTTCAAAATTCATTTACGGATTGTGTGATAAAGTCTTTTTTATATGCACCACTATTTGTACGATAAATGTTACATCATAAGAAATTGATTCAGAGTCCTTACATTTTACTGTATGCATATTAGAAGTTTAAGACCTTACCGTAAAAACTTCGGTTTCTTTGTTTACGACCATATTACATCTTACTTTTACTAATATTATAAATGCGACAGTTTAGATGGATGGATGGATAGAAGTTTGTAGCCTAAACGGCAGAACGGATCTTGATGAAGTTTGCTATAGATGTAAAAGATAGTCTAGAAGACCACAAAGGATACTGACATTTGTATTTTTATTCCACGCGAAAGCTTGTTAATAATAATTGCTCGAATTTAATACACTGTGTCCGGATAGACGTATACCATAGAACGCCGCAAATACCTTGATCAAAATATGTCTTATTCCTACACATGGATAGGTCGGTACGTGGAAATGATAGCTCTTGCTTTGTTTGATTGAAACGCGCCTGTTTATGTTAGTGACAGGTTATTCTATCTCTAATACTAGTACGAACCTCAGCACCATCGGTGCCAAAATGGCGAAAATCATATAGACACAGAATGTTATGTTTTATAGACTGGCAATCGATAGAAGTGATGAAGAAAGACGAAACAAATATTGAAATACATATATTTACTTGAGCGTATAAAACATGAATGTGAAAAATTCTAAGATATTGGACAGACAGGATTCTGAGTATAGGAGTCTACTGTTTTCTTTGTTTAAAAGAAAACTACCATTATTAATTAGTATGTCTCGGAATTCAACTTACTCTTTCATCAAATACTAATTACGCTTGACTGCTTTAATCTTAGTTTATTTGTAAGACAGCATTTCCAGTAAAATTCTCCGTGTAAAGAGCAATATTTCTGAGACAACGCTGTATTCCTGGTAATATCACATTTTCTACCCTCGCTTTGAGAGAAATGGAAAATTGTATACTAAGCTACTGGCTACTTACTGTTTACTGTTGGAATTTCACTTGTTCTGTTTACATAAGTTTAAGCCTTAAGACTTGTTGGGGATTTTATTGCAATGACCATTTAGTAAACTATTTTTTTAGGAAACGATAACTGGTAATAATAACCTATTACTTGAAAGTACATTATTTATCAATAATTACATACGAGGATTAAAATTTTTACCACTTAATTTATTTTGGATACCCCTGGTATATGTCATAAAAGGGGGCAAACGAGCGCTGGGAACACCGAGGTCTGTAACTTATTTCAAGTTGTCACAATTAAATATAAAACTACACTAATGTGAATTAAATTATATACACATACTAGCTGTTCCTCTGCGACTTCATCCGCATGAAATTATGAAAATTTTACTTTATTGTTTACATTTGTCAAATTATCAACAGCAAATGTCAAAATGACAAGACATGACAAACCTTGGTAATCTTGTTTCCTTGTTGTTGGCAGCAACTTATGGTCATTTTCCCACATTAGGGTTTTCATCCAAAATATTAACCCCCTATGTTTAATGGCGTGAAAATATATAGCCTAAAGCATGACGTAAGTGTAGGGCTTTTTATTACAAAAATAATTTATCAAAAATATGTTATAATTGCTGACATCTTAGGCAACAAAGAAGTGTGTGTTTACGCTTTATTATAATAGTATAGATATAGTTGTTAGATAGACGTCTCATATCAAATGAACTCGTGAATAACCACACATTACTGTCAGTGACAAAGGTCAGATAGTTTGAGGTCGTTGACATCAAACCATAGCTACCGGCTAAACAGCGGGGTTCTGTTGAAATCTCAATAAGCCGATAATTTAGACCAAATAACAAATTATATATGAACTCGTGTACCTTTACTCGAATTATGATAATCATTTGGTTCTTGTTAAAGGCAAATTGATTTGTTTGTTCAATAGGTAAAGAAAATTCGTATATTGGTTAAGCCTAGCGTAATTTGATATATTTCTGTAAAGGCATTAACCCCGGACATTTTTAGAATTGACTAGTAAAGCAAAAGCTGAATTTGGTATTGAATTATCTTCCGTGAAGCCCTCAAGTAGCGATTTTTTTACCATTATTTCTACTTTTTTAAATAGAGATGTATTACTCTGGGTGAATATACAGATTTGAACGCCTCATGTCTCCTTCGTTGTAACAATACGTTAGAACTTTGTTCTCCGAAGAGTCTTACTAATAGTATAAATGCTAAAGTTTAGATCGACGGATGTTTGTTGAAGTTTGTAGCCTTAACGGCTGAACGGATCTCGATGAAATTTGGTACAGAAAATTTGGTGGTAAAGTATAGAATGGAAGAACACATAGGCTACTAACTTTCCCTAATTCCACACGAACGAGTCGTTGGCTAGCTAATAATAAAACGTTTTTCGGATTTCAGTCTTAACTATAGTTGATAAATTTAGTGATATTTATGGATAAAAAGTGTATACCCCTACCTGTACAGAGAAAACTGTAGAGATAGGGAGAGAAATATGTAATTTCTATGAAACTTAGATTATAAATAGTTTTTCTCTTTATTTTTAAAAAAAAATAATCGTTGTAGCTATTTTTTTTATTTGTGCAATATTTTTTTGCAGGTGTGGTTGTTCTAACATACGCTATAATGGTGGCTTTTGGTTCGTTGTTCCTTCCCAATGGTATCGATTCCTACGTGTCTATGATACAAAGCCTAAACATGGGAACTTTTACAATAATTCTGCTCAAAATGTTACTTGGCGCACCTTTTGTATATCATTATTTCAACGGAATAAGATATTGTGCCTGGAACGCCGGTAAATGGCTAGCTTTAAAAGATGTCTACGAAACGGCGAAAAAAAGTTTCATACTTACTGCTGTTTTTACTGTATTGTTTTCATTGTTGTAAATTAATTCGATAATTTACAAAAATAAATTTCAATTTGGATGTTTTAGTATGTTTTTTATTTAACCTTTTAATTCGAAATACAATAAAACTTTTAAAATTGCATATCTTAAAATTTGATTTGGTACTTTGTTTTTATAGTCTTAGAAAAATATCTAGCTATTGACTTTAGTTACAAAGTTAATATAGGAAACCGATGTTTGATTTGTCACAGTCAACAAACACGATCAGATACTAAGTAGTCATCGTTTCGAATCTTCACACTTAATTAAGCACTCTTGCATTACGAGGGACTGCTTAGAGTGTGCAGGATTTACTGTTATTTATCCACTAAGGGTCTCGCTTAGTAACTAACAATTCAATGCGCCAGTAAATCTATATCTTCTATCCATGTAATAAAATTAAAGTGTCTTTGTAATCCAGATTTAGGGGAGATGATGTATTTGCGTTGCTGATAACGTAAATCGCATTTAGAAATTTTTGTCCGCAAGTCGCATTTGTTCCGGGTATTCTCCAAAACGGCTGGGTCGATTTCGACGGGACTTTCACTGGAGGGTAGCAGACATGGATAGGCATTTTATAGGCAACTTTTTTTTGTAATTCCACGCTGTCAAAATGGCGGAAAGGGTGATCCGATTTTGATGAGACTTTGAAAGATAGGTGGTAGAAGGTAGATACAAGCGGGAATGTGATAGATGAGTTTTTTTTAAAAAAAATCTGCGCTATATACTGTTTAAGTAACGTGAGCCTGTTGGTTTCAAAGGTACTCAATATTGTCATAGTTTAACTTATATAATGAATAGATAGTTTTATGGTAGACATAGAGTTTAATTTTGATATACTTTTACCCAAATAGCGTATCATCTGATACCATCAATTTGCGAGCGCACCGTGCTGTCCGGATACAAGAGAACAGGGAGGAAAATCAAACTAAAACCATATTGGGAATGAAACCTGATATGCGGTGTATGCCTATTTATTTATAATCCTGACGTACAGGATTTGCTGAAATAACAAAAACTAGCCTCTATTATTAATCACCTTGAGACCTATAACTTCTAAAATAACCACTACCTAAATTGCATACTTGGCTGTCGTTTCTAACTTTAAGAGATTCTCCTGAAGTCACAGGTTTGCTGAAATGTAAGTCGCCCATAGATAATGATGGTTGTTTTAACAATACCGACATAAAGTAATTTCCAAGATCAAAAATCGATCTCTAGACATTTTTGGCAGTACTAAACGAGATAGTTACCAAAGTTATAAAAAAGGGTTATTTGCATAAAATTGTCATTTAAATGTATAAAAATTTGAATCCATAAATCTGATTTTTTAGATAGATTAGGTACTTTTAAATCTATTCATAACATACAAGTGTTCAAACTTGCCCTGTGATTTTGCTAAATGTGATACTAATGATGCAGGGCGTTCGTGATTTGATAACGAGTGAAAAGTTTCCACAGGCGATAAAATCTCTTAACAGTAAACAAGCAAGGTGAACTTGTATCGATTGATTTATACTGCGTAGTTACGAATGACCTTTGACATTTATTGTTCTCGAAGGTGGGCCAGCATCCCAGCACCGCGGCGGAAGGATGAGGCAGGTGGGCCACTTACAGCAGCTCCTCCCATGCCAACGCTCCGCCCATAAACCTTGAACTTTTGCAACTTAATTGAAACAACATTAATGTTGCCACATAAAAGCTAAATCCCAACTTTTCGGGAAATTTAAAATGATTACAAAAAAAGGGAAAAAAGGGCGGACTATAATTACAATATTCAATTGTTTACAAATAAAACTCACTTTAACATATAGTATAATGTTCTAATGTAATGAAATTTGAGTTACAAATCACTAATAATCCTTTCGTATTAACGTATCGTCAATTAGAATCACTGAGCATTCGAATGAAAATAAAAACCCATTAGAAGCATGGTTTAGTTGTTCGTCGCGTACCGTGCCGAGCAGGCACTTACGGGCACACAACTCAATTAGATACAAAGGAAGCGGAAGTCAAAAAGCATCGTAATTACTAACTAGACTACACCGACGTGTTTTTAATGTAAAAAATATATCGGATAATTTTTTTAACGTAACAGGGAAAGTTATCGAAACATTACATTAATTAAGTGCGCTAGAAATTCGTATAAAGATAAAAATAAGTCCGATTTTACTAGTATTCGATTAAAAAATATTAAAGATTCTTTTGATGAAATTTATTTAGATTTAATAACTCTATCAAGGTAAAAAATAATTACATTAAAAATAATTTGGATACATACAACACTATAAAAATCATTTCACATGACTAGATCATCGCACACCCCACAGGTCTGGGAACTACGCTCTCCTAATCCTGTTTACAAACGCCCCCTTACTTCCCCCTCCTCTTCATATTGACTAATTTAATTTTACCTAATATCTCCCAATATTAATAATAACCATGACCGCAACGACTAGGAAAATTAGCATAAAATCTTTTAGAATTAGTTTAAACTATAGTCTTGCTGTATTTCAGAGATGGAAAACCTTTTCATACCGACATGTAATTTTTTTAAAAAGAAGAAAAATCAAAAAGCTTTAATTTTAAAATTTCCCAAAAATTTTCTGGAAAACGTTGGTTAACGTTTATTAGCGGCCATTTTGATTGCGATCGGTTAGCGCATGCTCTGTAGCTATTGCTATCTCGAGCCCGTATCCGTACCAAGTCTAGAACTACATTAGCGGCTATAAAACAAGCATCGTATAAAGTTTCGCTCTTAGTGCGATCGAGGAGCGTTCATGTAAGTATTATTAGTAAATCTCCTAATTAAATGCCTTTAACCCTTAACTTGACGGAATTTGTAGCAAAAAGTATTATACGTTACCAACAAACACATCAAACACTGGACTCTATCGAATTAAGGGTTGAACATAAAAATATATGGTCCGTTGATTTTTAAAGTGTTTTAAGTCCATTTAAAAAAAACTGAGATACGACGTATTTCATGCACAATTTTATGTATTTTTTTTTAGTAAAATCAGTCTGTGTTCATTTCCTTAATAAATTCACATGTTTTGTACAACTTAAAATTGATCGGTAAATGAAATTTGATACTTACTCGTATTTATTATGAAAGTGATGTAAATCCAATAGCTAGAGATGGATAGCTTAATAGATGGTTGCCGATCGTTAGTCCGTTATTTTTAATTCATCTGTTTTGCGTAGGTGTCTTCTTACGTGACAAACTTTGCTAATTTAGGGTACTTATTCTAGTTTTCTTACATGGATACCTCTATGTTAACATCGGATTGTTATATAGATACAAAGAAATTGTAAATCAACACTGTTTTGTAGCACTTGAAAATATTTACTTTTCTTAATTATAAAAAAAATAATACGAATAGTAATTTGACTAAATGAAAGGATTATTGTTATTCCACATATAACTTTATTTCTTATTCTCTATATAATATATTTTACAAGTTTTGTATAAAAATAAAATAAAACATATTATAGAAAAAATAGAGCACCACCGGTTGCGGAATTCGGATTCAGTCATCGGTGACTGAAGCAACCAGTGGTCAGGGCTGCAGAGACACTATGCGCGCCGTTTCTAAAATAACTGCCTTTTGAATCGGGTCCTTAATTCAACTGTCTAGCGAGAGGTTCTTGAGATGTTGGTCGAAGCTCTTCGCTTTGTTATTGTTATTATTTAGAAATGTTTAACGTTATATCCTCAAATTGAATTACATTCTATATCATCGACAAAGCAGTATTTTACAAATTAGACATTGTGAATTGCAGGTTGTCGAACAATAACCGTTTACTTCGCGAGAACCGCCAAATAAACGCAATCGACTTCATTTTACATCGCTTTTATTAGTTACTAGCTGCGACTTCATCCGCATAGAATTATGAAAATTTTACTTTATTGTTTATATGTGTCAAATCATCAATTGCAAATGTCAAAATGTCATGACGCTGACAAACCATGGCAACATTGCTTTCTTGATGTTGGCAGCAACTTATGGTCTCTTTCCCACATTATGATTTTTGTCCAAAATATTTAGCCCCTAAGTTTATTGACGTGAAAATATATAGCCTAAAGCATGACGTAAGTGTAGGGCTTTTTATTAAAAAAAGAATGATTCAAAAATATCCCGTAATTGCTGACATCTTAGGCAACAAAGAAGTGTGTGTTTACGCTTTATTACAATAGTATAGATTATGTGGTACGGGCTGTCGTCTGTAAACTTCGTACAATTAAAAACTTTTCAACTAAAACTTATTTGAATAACTGTTCTCTATTAGCAAAATCAATTATATTACTATGACGTTTATTAAAAACCATTCGAACAAAAAAACTTTCCTTCATGAAATTGTTCATAACAATTTTAATTCTTTCAAAAACTCCAACTACAGTTAAAAAATTGTGAAAAGTGGAAACGAAGCTTAAATGGGTATAATTATTAGTATGATACTAGGAGGTATAATTACACGTTCCAATTCATAGATTTAATATTAAAACAGACCAAATCATTCTTAATCAACTTCATCCGTCAAAAAATTTTTTTTTACTTATAAATTATTAAAAAATATTTGTAGTCGAATCAGATGCGTATGTTGGAATGGATGTTGTACAAACTGTACCTAAAACGTTGTTAACTTTTTCTTTTACCGCGACTTCGTCCGAGCGTAATTAAAAGAAAACTGGGTAAAGAACCCAATGTGTTTATCCAGACTATGTTCTATATCAATGCTACATTTTAAGTTGCGTACAGCTCTTTTTGGGATATGCAGTAACAAGCATTCATCCACCCAAACTTTTGCATTTATAATTTGTTTTTCTGTTTGCCGTTCTTTGTTATTGTAATTTCATTTTTCATAATGCTGTGTTAGTCTGTGTGTCCATAATAATTGTGTTATTAGTTATAAATACTTTTTCTCATTAAACATAATTTGTTCCATGTGATACATAAATAAAATGAATAAATAAATAGATAACATTAACAAGTTTTTGCCCGCGACTTCGTTTGCGTGGAATTTTAAAAATAGAAATTAAGTAGCCTATGCGTTTTTCCAGACTATATTACATCTCTGCCAAATTTCATCTAAATCCGTTTAGCCGTTTATCATAGGCTACAAACTCTAACAAACATCTATCCATCCATCTAAACTTCGCTTTTTTAATAATATAGTAGGATTAAGGAGTGAGGTGATAACGGCACTTTAAAGTAGCGCAATACATGGAGTTATTGAGAAGCAAAAGGTTACCGTGGTATGGACATATACGAAGAGATGATGATCACATAAACAAGACAGTAATGAGATGAAATGTTGGTGGTTACAAAGATTAGAGGAAGACAAGTATGGATGGAATGTATGACAGAGGATATTAGAAAGGAGTAAATTCATACATGACGGATTATAGAGGTGTATGGAAGAGAAGTACATGTGCCACTGTAGGGAAAAGATTAGGTTGATGATGGATTAGATTTTTTAATACAAGCTTTACTCTAATGAAAAAACACGTTTTGTGCTTTTGAGCTATTAAAGTACCTAAAACCTAAAGAGGGTCTAGCCCCTACTAATGGTTACTGGTTCAGTCACCTGGGAATATGAATCCGTATAGAGCACAGCTCGACGGGTGAAACTGTAGTCCATTGTATAGAGTACGTTGCAACACAAATGGATTTGACAGACGCATTGAATGATTTGCAGGCTTCGGCCTTGCCCCTTATAATCCGATTTAAGCTCGTGATGATAAAATTGCAAAGGGACGAATGTGTTGCTAATAGCAAGGCAATATTACTCCAATCCTATACTATTAATTTATACTTCGTTGACTATTTTTGTTATTTAAAAAGTAACTGAAGGTTATATCTCTTTGGCAGAAAATAATGTAACTACTCAAACATAACTGATAAGAATCTTACAATCATATTGCGATAATACTTTGACGACGATTGTTCATTCGAATAGGCAACATTTGACAAAAAAAAAACTATTAATAACATTGTGTCAGCTAAGGTAATAGTTAACTTATGCCCGCTACAGACGCTCAGTTCTGACAGTTATAACTGCTCGGGTATATTCTAACTGTCAGTTGAACTGAAATTATTATAATTATTATTATAAATCTTTCTGTTATGTTATTAAATGAAGTAGTTATGTTTATACGTTCCAACTTGATAAAAATTTTCCTGGAAATAAAAACTAGAAACGCAAGCCATACTAATCTAAAGTATTTTAAAAAATCGCTTTGCATTGTCGTCTTTTGAACCCTTATATTACCACGAACGATAAAAGCAAGCCGTTTTATAGGTATATACGGAATTTCATTTTTAATGGTAAATTAAAACACTCGCGCTAGAACCGAAAGAGCTAGGCAGAAATTACGAATTTCCATTTGGGGCGATCCTAAAAAATTTCACTTGGCGTTATAAGTGTTTTAGCAACACTGGACCAACATTGGCCCTCACTATTCTATAATTTGTCTTGTCCTTCTTTTTTCAGATAACAGTAAAATATTAACCTGACTCACTCAGTCCTTTAATGATATCCTAGTACTTAGTGTAAAGTCGAATTCAATGGAAGTGAAAAATTATATACATAGGCGGTCAAAGTCTTCTGACCCAGTAGGCATAAGTCAAAGTAAATAACGATAGCTTACGAGATTTCACAAAACTTTCACCAAATCTTTGTGGATATTTCTTTATTTTCGTTTCTATTTCGATTTCGATATTTCTTCGTTTGTTTTAATTATTTTTGTCTTTTTTTTGAATAGACTATAAAGGAAAAAATTGTTTAAAATTTTGTTATAATTTCTTATTTCCATTGATTGCTACTATATAATAGACTGTGGAAGAAACCACAATAACTACTTAAGTAAGCATTTACCAATAAACTTATAAATATTGAAATTTCAATTATAAATGTATAAAAGTAAAAGAGCGATAACTGAATGAAGGCAACGTTTTAATTACATATGATCCATATATCTTTATTCGCTTATTTACCTCACAATATATTTTACATGATTTATATAAATATAAAACATAATATGTAAAAAATAGAGCACCAACAGCTGCGGAATCCCATAATTCAAGCAACCAGTGGTCATGGTTGCAAAGACACGAACCTCCTCACTTATTTTATTACATAAATTAGTATGAAATTTTTGTTTAGTCTATGTCTAGTATGTAGTAGTATGTATCTTTATGTTTTAGTAACATTTTGATTAAAAGCTGTGAATCTAAATATTGTAAATTTTTTTTTATTTATTTTATAACTGTTGAAGTGCTGTCACGCTCAGATATAAAAGAAATCGATTCCAGGCAATCAACTAATGTCTGGAATAAGTTGACTAAGAGAAAACTTTTACGTTCGCTAATTAAGGAGATAATTACTTTACCGCCCTCGAGGCACGAGCTTCCTTCCCAGACATAACTTGGTTTTCCGCATTATTTAAATGCATCAAACTGCATGTTCTTTATAACTTTTGAATATGCGCTTTAACTGAAGTATACAAGTTTTCAAACTTTCACATCCCTAGTGTTCGTTCATTGTTCGAAATGATTAAAAACTAAAAACAAACCATTCTTTTTCGCTTCTCCTTGAAAAAAAGGTACAATGTTTTCGCTTCACGTAATAATGTATTTAATAATGTAATTTTAATTAAAACATGTTTAATGTTTGAAGGAATACTTTTCATCAAACTTTTTGGCAAACAACAAACATAATTAAAATGCAAGCAAAAAGTTAAAGCCTAAAAACTAAAAACATTTTTTTACTTTTATCACGGCAAAAGTCTTCTAAACTTCTCAGATCTCGATAGCAAAATTTGTGAATATCTGTTTTTTTTTGTCCTAAAATTTGAATGAAATATATGTCCAGTAAGCGCACGACTTTACGATATTTAACATCTGAAAAAAATATCTTACCTCTCAAGTAGAACTAGCGTCTTCTTTTCACCGTCAAAAACAAACAAGTTTTAATACAAAGCTTGGAGAAGGCCGCGCCGTGAAGCACATACACTTACACGCACTATAACATTGGTACACACACGCACTATGTATCAATAAATACATGCTCACGAAATGTATTTCACTTTAACAAGTTTTACGCTAGAGACACCAACCGTCCATTAAATTATTTTATGTATTTTTTTATTTATTTATAAAATAATAAATGAAACAACTACAAATAAAATGCATTATTTTAGTTAGATATTGGCGGCTGATTACTAGAAAGTTGATATTTATTAATTAAAATGAATGACAAATACATTTTCTCGAAATAACCTAAACTAAATTGAAAATGAAAAAAATCTCAACTGTCCAACTCTAATATACACGAAAAATGGAAAAAAATACTAGAAATTGAATAGTAACGGAGAGTGATATTTTAAGTTGTTTTTTCCACAATTGTTTTATAAGACAACCAGCTTTCGCCCCTGACTCCATCCGCGTGGTATTTAAAAATAAAAAACCAAGTAGCCTATGTGTTCTTCCTCTACATCTATGCCAAATTTCATTGAGATCCGTTCAGCACTTTAGGTTACAAACTGTAACAAACATCCATCCATCCGTCCATCCATCTAAACTTGGCTACGTAAAAACAGGAATCCTAGTTAAGTCGTCAAGGCAACACTGATTTATGTAATTAACATTAGTGTGCAAAAAAGATATTCTTATTCTTAAAAAAAAACTTTCACATTTATAATATTAGTATGGAGTAGGATTTCATACGCAGTTTATTAGATTAGTTTGATAATGTACTAAGTGAATTAGACTTTACAAAATAATTATTATATTATATACAAATTTAGCGTTTTTTAATTTATTTGTAAATCACGAAAATTAATAAAAACGAATGAAGTCTTTCCTACACGGCGAACTGGTTGGTGATAAATGGGTGGAAATAACCCCATCATTGTAAAATTAGATTTAACAGCCATATTAAGGTCATTGCAGCTATTTCACTTATATTAGAAATTATTTTAACTTAATATAACTAAAAAAAAGATTCTGTACAACTTTTTGCTACAAAAGCAATAGATTTTTGAACTATTAAAATTAGTGCTATCTAGTGGCGGCAATAGACAACACGTGACTTCGTCAAACGAACGAAATTCAAAGGCTGACCACAAGGTAACTTAAATGAACGGGCAAACTCCGGATATTCTGAAAGTCTTAGGCAATCTAAACTTAATGAAGTTGATACAACTGGACCGATCTTTGAATTTTAACTGACGAAACACTGCTATACAATGCTTATTGGTTTCTTATTAAAATAACAAAGGTAATAATAAGTTTTTAAATGTTCATAGACAATGGAAATCTACAAAAAGCTTTACGACAAGCCTTTTAATATACATTACTATTTATCCTTAAGTGCGATGTATTTATTACTATGTAGAAAATAGGTACAAAAGCTATAAAATGAAAAAAAAAAATAGTATACAAGTGCCAGCGAAGTGACTATGTTATGCTTAGTTATGCAACCGTAACATGTTTTTTTTTTAAATAATAAAATTAACAATGAAAAATTCACAGATACCATGATTTGTTAAAATTAAGCAGCTAATTTTTTATAATAACCCAACTCTAGATCTTACGTTAATTTACTCTAAATTACATTAACTGACTCTATACTTACTGCATTTAATATTATTTTTTCTTTTAATAGATGGCACTATCACAAATATAATGATTCACTATATTTAACTGCATAAAACAGACATAGTTTCATAATCACGGATTTGTGATGTGACCCAAGTGCTAACCATGTCACGTTTGAAAAGACTGAACGAAACTCGGTCAGCCAAATACCTAACTCTCATGACATTAGTGTTCCAATTTTAAAATTGCGACTGCAAAAAATGTTTAAAACCCGATAGCAGCATAATTAGGGCTGAAATATCACAATTTCACTTAATTGAATCCGAAATAGTTACGTAATAATAAAACCAGATAAATAGAACTTGCGAATTTTTTAAGTTTAACCCGTTTTTGCGACATGAGTAAGATCTCAAATTGAAACAATAGATGGCGCTTATACTAGGGTACGGTTCTGCACACGTGTACAGGTAGGATAACGGGGCATTCACCCTTTTACTACGAATTTACTACGACTTACAATATCAATTTAATATAAATAAACGTTTGCTCCATAAATAAACATTCTTTTATGTTTATAGTAATGCACTATTTTTTTTTAGTTTTCAAAATACGACAGAAATTGTTTTAATTTTCATTAAATTTGTATTATTTATTTTTCCTTTCTTAATAATAACATTTATTAACAAACTGCTTATATTTGGTAAAGAATTTGTGGTACAAAAGTGTTGTTTATGTTTCAGTTACAGAGTTCTAAAGCTATTTTGTAACTACTTCTGACTGAAAATTATTTTGTTTTTCATTGTTTATGAAATAACAAGGACGTTTTTAATGAATTAGTGAGTAATTTTAAAATTACAAGGTAGATTTTTGCAACATAAACTATAGTTTACGTCAACATAATATGAAAAAGGTTAGATTGCGGTAAAAGTAAATCGATTTTAAGGTTATAGTTTTAAACTCCGTTCGCTTACCTCACAGATAAAATATAGCACCGTTGTTAAGTTCCCATGGCACTAGAATAATTTCTCACTTGTTAAGGCACAATCTTACTAAATTATTATGGTCACAATTTTTATATCGGACGGTTGGCGGCGCGTGGTTATAAGGTCGTGTATTAAGCTAGTGATGGGATTCGACCCTGTGCAAACTGGCCCTTGTACTGGTTTGAATAATTGCCTTTACGAGGGAAAGAGGGGGAAATTATGCAATAAAAAAGTGAACTATGAATTGGTATCATTCATCACCAATCTTATTCATCATCACCATCTTTTCATAATACAAAAAATACGACCTGTAATTCCAGAACTGCTGAATTTATTTGTTTGAAAATAATAACATCAATCAATAACACTTTAATACAACAATAGGCCGCTAATTTAGTTTTACATGCAATTAAACTCGTGATAAACAGTTACTTTGCTAATTTAATCTGGTCCAACAAACTTTTTAATGTTAATGGCGTAGTATTTGTTTTCTTTAAAATTCGTTGTTTTGTTATGTTCCTTAAAAATCTAGATTAAATAATGGTTACTTAACCATTAAAAGGACTCTGAGTGTAACGGTATGTGTAACGAATAACTGATTATTATTCTTAATTATCCAAACTCAGGGCATTGCATAAACTGATATGATTATTAGCGGTTTATTACGCTACATTTTAATATGCATTTTTTAAATAGTCTAAATCATGTTTAAATTGTAACTAGTGAAGTGAACAGTATATTAGCATTCACGAACTAGCTGAGTGGCACAGTTGGTGAGCGCAGTATTTATTCCCGTCACTATAAAATTGCAATTTGTGGCGCATGCGCGTGCGTTTCGGCCTCGCCCTCTGACTTAAACACTGAATGGATGACGTCACAATCACGAGGAAGCCACCCCAATAGTATTTGTAAAATGAGGGGTAGTTTTTATGCGGATCTCAAAACTGTTCGACTTGCTTGTTACATTGAATCGTCTCGTAAGATTCCCATCTGTCCACACAGATGGGAATCTTAAAAGAGATAGACATACATTTGGCGCCGGTTTACCATCTCTATTTAACCAGTCGTTAGTTTTTTTGGTTTGATAATTTCATGAAGTGCGTTTCCGTACTACGTAATTTGAGTTTTACTACGTTAAAACTTGGCTTCATTTAACACTAATGAATCACTAGGTGATAAAATAAATGGAAACTTCAGTAACCCAGGATTTCAGAAGTTAAAAAATAAGTAGTTACATTACAAAAAGTTAGATGAAGTTTAATTTTTAAAAGTAAACTATAAGATACTTTGGATTAGATTATGTTAGGATTTTCTGTGTTGCTACGGTCCAAATGAGTAACTTGAAAGTAGATTTTATTTCAAGTTTAAAAAATGTGATCTAATGTAAAAACAGTAAAACTAACAAAAAAAATATAGTAGAGAATTCCTATCATTTGACACTACCAAACTTGCAATAATTTGAGTCAATAATGAGACTTCATGGGCCTTTCAAAAGGTTGAAAGGTTTTACTCTTTATCACTGCCCGATGGATCTAAACAGTCACTTAACAAATGGATGTACTCACGAGGACAGTGGTTCAATAACTACATAAGTATGCTATAAACCATGGTACTTGGTACCTATTTGATTTAAACCATTTTAGCGCTGCCGGTAGCCACGGCGAGTTTTCGTATTCCTTATAGAGATAGCATTAACTGTCAGAAACATTAAGTTTGAACGAAGCAGACGATGTCAAGATCAGTGAATATTACTCTTTGAGTATGTAGCCATGATCTTAATATGCCAAAATGCGCATAAAAAAACCGTATTGTCATCCCCTCATACTTTTACTTTGTCGTCATATATATTTAATATACGATGTACAACGACTTTAATAATCAAAACGCGTTCCTTTGAAAACTGCTTCTTCGCGAAGAATGAACTGTGCTAAGCTACTTACTGGCTCGTCTCTTTGACTTCGGAATATTTTCATTTTGAATACAATCTCGTTAAAATTGAATAAAAAGCAAGATAAATATGCACATCTGCAAAACTGTTAAGAAGTATTATAAATATGGTAGTCGTTACGGGAATTTCGTTAGTAATAAATTAAGCCAATTATAAAAGAATAAATAATTATAATAAAATAAAACAAGTAAATTATACAATGCTATAGTTTGTCTAAATAATTTAGATTAGTTTGACAATTCATTTCAATTTTAGTAGGGATGGGTTGTGTAAAATCAGTATCTTATCGATTTTCGATTATTATTCTCATAGAAGTTGGAATCGATAGATTTATAGTTATGACTTATGAAATAAAGAAAAGACACTGTTTTCTCAAATTAATAATGACCATAACAAAAATGAGAGTAAATAAATGTTTATTACTACTACAGCCGTACGTAATCGAATTGGATTTGGCTATTATTTCTGTCATCGCTAAATTCTCTACACTGTAATCAATATTAGAATGGTCTCTAAATTAGTGAATAAGATGAATAAGATTAATTTTAGTTGAGTTCGATAATTATCTAAACCGAATATCGATAGTTTAAAATTGTTCGCTATGTGTGTTTGTTTCGTCACTACGATACCTGTCTATTAAGTATGGCATTTGCCTTCATACAAATTGAATTCGATACTTCATATGCGTCATTTATCAAACTAATCTATTTTATTTAGCCACACTATAGAAGCATTTTATAATTTATAGAGCGCAAGAATTTTTTTGAGAAAGTATTAAAAACGTCACGCTACGATCCACTGATAGATTTTAAAAGTAGGTAATCCAAGACAGTGTCGGTGGCTCAGGGATTTAAGCACTTGACTTGTAATCTACAGGTATTGGGTTCGAACCCTGCCATATACCAATGTGAAATTAGATTTCTGTCTCCCTTACTGTTGGCTTAGTTTGAGGAATCTGCATTAAGTGACTCCTTTTATGACAAAAATTCGACAAAAATCGTAACAAAAAGAGTCCTTGGACATTATTTTTTACTTTCATAAAATTCTTAAATAACTTCTATATTTTACGACTGTACATCATCTTGAAGAATCTCAGTAATAAGTTGCTAAATAAAGCAGGGGTAGACAATAAGATAATGTTGGAGCGAAACAATTTACTGAGCTGCAGTCATCCGAGCGTATCTGGCCAACTATGTCAATTACTACGCCATCGGGTCAGGGGTACCTTTTACAATGCTCCCTCTAACCTATTTTTTAATATATCAGTAATGGTTTGATACACAAATTTTGAACCTTTTCAATATCACTGCACTTACAATGTTAGTAAATTATTAATTTTAATCTAATTCTCCATTCGTATAAGACTTATTGTATTTTTTTCCAAAGAGAATGTAATCGATGTAGTTATATTTTGTTGTAAAAACTCACATTCAATAACGTAGGCGAAGTACGTATAGTTGAGTGTCCATACCGTAAATATAGTTATGAATTTGTATCATTCGCTGCTTGCAAATCAATTAACATAATCGGCTCTTGCGCTAAGCCAATAAGCCATTAGTGGAACTTGTACACTCCGATGATTTGGTAAACAATAATCTTAGTGATTGATTAATTAATTTGGTAATTCAAAGCGCTGCTTCCGTTGGCAAGATAAGACTAACATGTGCTAATACATTGTAGTTGCAGGCTAAGATGGCTTTAGTTGCAATTTAATTACAAGCGTCTACGTCATCGAACAATGGGAACTATTCGTATTATGTGACGAGTACGAGTACTCAACTAGCAGTCACTATTGTTCTTATCTATTCTACTATTATAAAGAGTAAGGATTTGTATAATTGTATGTATTAAAATAACTTAAAAGCTACTGCGTCGATTTAAAAAATTCTTTCACTGCTAAAAAGTTATTTTATCACTGAGTTACATTGGCTATATTTTTAATTCCACGCGGAGGAAGTCGTCAGCAAATCAAGTAGTATATATTAGGTCAGCGCCACTTTGTAAAATGTTGGTCTTAAATAAGAAAAGGAAAGGAATATGAATAATCTTGGCATAGAACAAAAAATGTGGAATCTATTTCAAAAAGTAAGAAAGCGCGTATTTGACTGTATTATTAAAACATGTGCATATTAAAAAGTTAGCATTTTAAAACGAAACAAAACTTTAACAACGATATAAATTAAACAACAATCTCTTTATTTGGACAGAAAAATAACTTCCTAATGAATTATTACCACTACACACAAAATAGTAATATGAAGCATCAAAATATTGAATCAGACAAAATACATGTCTGAAACATGCCTAGACTCATTTAGGGTCCACCCTAGACACCCCAGGTATTGCGCGCAATAATGCAGACATCAAAGGGTGCCGTACTGAACTCGATGTAAACATGTCGACACCCCCGGGGGTCCGATATTGAATCCGCTTTAATTTGTCTGCCTCGAACATTTCATCCAACATCCAAGCCGGAACATTCGCTAATTGTACTCTTTCATTAAAAGCTGAGCTGATTTCTACTTCCCATAACATTACAAACATGTTCAAACTTTATTTGATTTGATAATGTGAATTTAAATATTGATTTAACAGATTTAAGTATCTGTTTCAAATTGTAAGATCGCGTACACCTTCGACTAAACTATCGCACAACTGTTTAGTCGCGCTTCCTATGAGTTTATATAGAGGTGCGCTCATACTCGATGTTTAGTTGTGCAACTAAACAGTTGAATTGCAACAATCGACAATCGCACAACAGTTGTGCGATAGTTTAGTCAAAGATGTCCGCAGCTCTTATGAGTGTAATATCTATCGCCTTATCACATTACGTCGAAAAGTATAGTATACATTTTTTTCTAATTTTGTTTCAGAAGCCGTCAAGTTTGGTGGGCGATTTATATGCCACCTTAAATACTAAGAAATAATGAAGAAGGTGAAGGACGATTTACGTCCGCCTTGAAGGGACAGCCGCAACCACGGTCGCCGCGAGTGATTTTAACGACCCTAAAATCACTCAAAAACCTTACCTATCGCAAGTGGCTTGAATTCTGGATCCGATTTAGATTTATATTCCATTCTAATAGATTTATATTCCGTATTCTTAGATTTATATTCCACATTTCTAGGTTTATATTCCACATTTCTAGGTTTATATTCCACATTTCTAGGATTATATTCCAAATTTCTAGGTTTATATTCCACATTTCTAGAATTATATTCCACATTTCTAGGATTATATTCCACATTTCTAGGATTATATTCCATATTCTTAGATTTATATTCCATATTAGATATTAGAGAATTATGTTACCCCAATATTGTATTATCCCAGCCAAATGTTGAAATTCTCCTTCTTCATTTTGACAGATGACCTTCTTCTCTGATCAACTTCCCAAAATGAAGGAAAAACAATTTCACATTAAATTGATATAAAGAATTTAGAACCTAATTGTTCTTCTATTCTTTATTTCTATAATAATGACAAACGTTCATGGTATAAATCTATGGTGATACGGGATTTCTTAAGACCTTGTTGATCCATCATGCATTTTATACCGTGTTAACACGTCGTGTTAAGAAAATAATTTTCTCGTTTAGTCAGTACAATATTGGGGTATGTTGTATTTAAATTTAATTAATTATAACATTATAACCATGATATATAGTTCTAAAAAAATTCTGGTTGAGGCATTTATTATTATCTTAATTCTTCTTCTTGTCGGTGTAAGAGAACAGCGCTGGGGAAATGTCTAAAACATAGAGCACAACTTCTATGTTTTTAAATAGGGATAAAATAATCGCCATCACTTTTCATACAATTATTCTTAGAGTTAATGTGTTTAGTAATAAGTTTTGTCTTCTTATTAGTCAATATATTCCGGTTATGCAAGGTCGTGTTTTATTTCTTAATATACTGACTCTCGCCTGCTACATCTATACCTTTAATCGACAAACTCTAACAAACATCCATCCATCTAAAGGTTAGGAGAATAGTCGAAAGTAACACTGGCATTAAATCATGAAAACCTCCTTACTGGCTCTTTACATAATTTTAATACAAATTATACAAAAAAGATTTGACATTAGAAAAAAGGACACTAAAATCGAAGTGTTCCTATTTTCATAAACCAATAATTTTAAGTTAGTTTTACACGAATTATTGATTAACAGTTTGCGGAATGTTTTTTGCGACAAAGGTAAGCATTTATTTTAAATTTCAATATTATATTACCATTTAAATCGTGTATAACTTTGTAGTATATGTTAATCATAAACAAAACATAACAAAGGGAAGCTTAAGTTGATCAGGCATCAAAGGTACTTCAAAAATACTAATTTGGTCAGCACACGTTTGTATTATTACGACCCCTCCGAGGGGGACTATACAGACCTATAGGTCTTTTTTAATCCCCCTTGAAGGGGATTCAGTATGACCTAAAGGTCTTTTTAACTTTCCCTCCTACTGAGAATAATTGGATGTTAGTGCATCCGACCAAATTGAGTTATTAAAGAGCGGTGTTTCGTAATAATTGTAAAACTCATTCATTTGCATTATTTCTTTTCTTGAGTATTGAATAATTACTCGTTTTAGAATTGGTTTTTATTTTATTTTAAATGACAATTTGTATTTTATGTATTAAATATTGTTTTTAAAAACAGAAATCTATCGACGTCCTTGTTCGTTCTATCAATGTTAAGAATGCGGTTTACAAAGGTATGTCCCTTCAAATTTAGAATACAAAAATTAGATTTTTTAACTTGATTTATATTTCAGTAATTAAATAAAAAAATAGTAATCAATTAACCCGATATAGTATAGCCATACATTTCGGAACTTTATTTCTTTAACATTTATAATCTTTTAGGGTGAGTTGCATCAAATCGCTGGTTATCGTAAAAGTTATAATAGGGTTACAAGTGCAAAAACATATTCTTACAGAGGTTTTATGTGTTTTTCGTTTTTACAATGGAAACATTTAAACCTGAATGTCACTAAAGTGTCAAGTTGGTGTCAAGAATGACATTTACGTAAATTAAAATGTTTGGAAATTCATGTTTCGCCGATTATATTTATGTATCATACGCATGGTATTTTATAGTGATATAAACTTTTTGCCCACGAAGATGGAGAAAATGGCAAACTCTTGTGAAAATAAACTAGTTTGGGCCATTATTGAAACTGTATTTACTTTACTACTCAAATATGTAGCAAAAATGAAGCAATAAAATTATACAAATATAAATGCATCTTTTTTATTTTCCATATTATAAATTGTCCTGTCAATGCATATTATAAATTGACCTTTTATGGAGGACATTTTTTTTAAATAAGAGAAAAGGGACAAGCGCTGTTGCTATGGCCTTAGACTCTCGAAATTTGTCCAAACTGAATGTTTGGCCAAATCTCGAGTTCCATCTTGGAAATCCATTATATCCGAGCACGCAAGACTTTATTCTTCTGGATTACGTATAGGATAATAGTAGAGATTTTCTTTTTCCATTACTTTTTCCATTATTTGTGCTTTTGAAGATAAGAGCTTGTGACAGTTGACACTACCGAACTGACACTAACCGTAACGCTAACTATAACCGCCCAAAATCGGGCGGTTATGATTAGTGTCAAATATGACGTCATTTTGACCAGCGCAAAACTGGTGTAGCGAATATCATGAACATCCGAAGACGTAACCATCGGGAATGTGCTGGTTAAGGTTTATAGTTAGTTAATGTAACTCATCCTTAGTAAATCTTAAGGTTATTCCAAATATTACTGTTACAAATAATTTTAACTTTAACGTTAACCGGCGATATGGTGCAACTCACCCTTAGACTATTAGAATTTACAAATAATTAAGTCAGGACACGGGTGGGCGATCGCCCAGGGCAACAAACAGGGCGCCACAAGCCTACGAAAAACAGTCACAATCTTACATAACCCAGTTAACGCCCTAGCCCGCTAAAACTCGCCCAAGGCGTTTAGAGTACTAATACCGGTACAATGGATTCATAGATAAATGATAGTAATACGACATGTATAGATATATGACCATAAGAAACGTTAGTAAATCTCTGAACCATTATCAGTGCAAAGTCGGAACAAGGCGTACGAGATACAGCATCATCAGCACGACTGCCTGGTGATCGGCGCCGGCGGAGCTGGGCTACGTGCATCGTTCGGCCTCGCGCAGCAGAACTTCTCTGTAGCCCTGGTCTCCAAGCTCTTTCCCACCAGATCGCACACCATCGCTGCCCAAGGTGGCATGAACGCTGCCATTGGTTTGTACACAAAACATCTGTTCGCAGTTATAGCTTTTAGTTAACAATTACTTGTATATTTACATACGTTGTAAAATTATTATAAAATCATTTTTTCTCAAAAGTGTACTGACATAATGAAACAGCATTCAAATGTGCAAAAATTAATTATAGGCAGTATGCACGAAGACGATTGGAGATGGCACTTCTACGACACGGTTAAGGGCTCAGATTGGCTCGGTGATCAGGTCAATAAACTGCAATTATACTATATTTTTTATCCTAACCCCAACATTGTGACGTAAAACCAACGCACCTTAACGGCTTAAGGCCCTGATCAGATTAATGTTTATTTCCACTAGCGGTCTGCTAATATGTCGGTCGCAAGAGTTTATGCAAAAGGGGTCTAAGACAACTCAGGGCAGTTGGTTAATATGAGGCTTGTTTGGAATCAATAAAGAAAATTAAAATTGCAAGCTTTCGTTTTTCCTTTTAGAAAACATGGTTAAGTTTAAAATAATTTTTCAGGATTCAATCCATTATCTTACACGTGAAGCGCCCAACCGGGTGTTTGAATTGGAAAACATGGGTATGCCTTTCTCTCGAACTAAGGAAGGTAAAATTTATCAGCGAGCTTTTGGTGGTGGAACTGTAAAGAATGGAAAAGAGACAGCAAAGAGAACATGTGCAGTGGCAGATAGGTCGGTAATTTAATTTACGAATATGAATACATGACGAATTGTAGGTCCTAATCTAAGTCTACAACGGATAATTGGTACAACTGACCGTTTAAACAGAATATGATAAAAAAACTAACAATTGTTATATCAAACCGATGGCGAAGCGACCGCTGCCATTTTCTATAGAAGTTCAATGTATTGGCAATTAATTTTTAAGAATGCAATTCCAAGGTATAGGAAAATTTATGCTTGCGACATCTAGTGACTGGTTCGCAAATAGTATTTTTTGACAAAAGTATTCATTAGTGACATCTACTAGATTAAGTAAATAAAGGTACGAGAATCAAGACTGTTACATTACAACGTTCATAGATGGCGTTATATCTAGATTATCAGAGTGGAATCTCGAAACTCAACACATTAAAATATTTGTAGTTTTTAAAGCTCCCTTTGAGTTTAGCGCCATCTAGTGTTTGAATGTATATTTAAAAAGCAAACATGCTGAATTTTGTTTTTATGTATGTTTATGTTCACTAGATGGCATTAATATAAATTTACATAATTATGATATTTCGAATCTTTCGAAGTAGGGTAGTAATTAAAGACTAATTTTAATAATTACTCTGCAATTTATAGATCTTTAATTGTATTTCTAGAACTGGTCACTCGCTGCTTCACACAGTGTATGGATACTGCACCAAGTTTGATCACGTCGATTTCTTTCACGAGTACTTTGTGCTTGACATTATCTGTCAGGACGGCGCCGTGGTCGGTGCACTCGCTATGAACATGGACGATAGTACATTGCACAGGTTATTCTGAAGATCCTATTTCCACAGGGAAAAAACTAAATAACGTCTTTTAACAAATATGTAGGATTTACTATTGGTTGTTATTTGATGTATTAAATATCATCATCATCATCCTCCTTATTCTACTCCCGTAGGGTCGGCGTAACTGTTTAATAGTGTTATTGCCCGCTTTAACATCTTAGCACGAATAGGCCGGCACGCCCGGTGTAATACTACGACCACACAGAAGACAGGCGTGAAATGGAAGCAATTCCGTGTTTCGTCTGATGAGTGTGGTGCCGGAGGCCTAATAAGTCCCTTTCTCTTTAACACCCTTTTCTTATAAGTAGAGGTTGGGAAGGGGAAGTGGATTTGACTAAAGAGGAGATGCATAGGAAGGGGAAATATCCTCTTCATGTGCGTCTCCTCCTCTGTCGGATATGGGTAGGCAACGCATCTGCAATTGCGGATGTCTATGGGCAGCGGTCGCTTCGCCATTTTGGCGGATTCAGGTGGCCGCTTGCTCGTTTGGCATCTTATGTTATATGTATATAAACAAAAACAGGTTTTTGTCCAAAGATGTAGAGAAAAAAAATTATAGCTATTTTGGTTAATTTAGTTAGCTTGATCGTTTGCTATAAAAACTACATTTTCAATTTATAATATTGCATTATTATGAAATAAAAACCCCAACAACTGATTTTATTCTACGATCATGATTATCAGCTCACTGTATACGTCCCCACGTTCTTGGCCAATCAAAAATATGACTGGGCCATATATATATCAAGATATTTAAATAATATATAGACGAGGCACAATGAACAAAACATTCAGATAAGTGTTTTCAGTAACATCAATCATTTATTAAGTAAATGTAAACACCAGATTTCAGGCAAAGAACACGGTGATTACAACTGGAGGGTACCCACGAATGTATTTCTCGTGCACGGCCGCGCACACCTGCACCGGCGATGGCTGCGCGATGGCCTCTAGAGCTGGGATACCGCTTCAGGACATGGAGTTTATACAGTTCCATCCGACCGGTACGGTACTAAGACGACAAAATGATCATACGATAAGATCAATAAATTTTTCTTTTTTTTTTTATTTTCTGTGACAAAATTCCATATGTGAAAGCATTTTTCACGTTAAATCGCTGATACATAAAGTTAACAGTACGGTATGTTGAAGGTATGTACGGTTCCGGATGCCTGATGACTGAGGGTTGTCGTGGAGAAGGTGGCTACATAGTGAACAACAAGGGAGAGCGGTTCATGGAGAAGTACGCGCCGAAAGCCAAGGATCTCGCTAGTAGAGATGTCGTCTCCAGATCAATGGCCACAGAGATTAGGAATGGTGATTAACCATAAACTAATTCTTTTTTTTATTTATTTGGGCAGAAGCACTTTAAGAAAAAATGATACAATACAATACAATAGTCTTAGTACATGAGCCATACACTACTTTACCACGTAGTTATCTAAAAAGTAACAAATCATAAGTAGGCTAAATATTCGAGAAGTAGCTGTTGATATAAATTGCTATATCGAATTAAACTAAAAAAGAAAAACACTTGATTAGTTCTCTGTACCCGTTTTGTACACATAATCATTTTTAATCTTACTTGACTTGACTTCGTCCGCGTGGTATTAGAAAACATACGAACTATATAAATTACAAAAAGCTACATATCCCTCGGGAACCGGACATTTCTCTGGGATGAAGCTTATCTCATGTGTAGTCCAGACTTTGTTTTATATCTGTGCCAAATTTAAATAAGATATGTTGAACCGTTGCAGAATGATCGAGGGAACATTAAAAAACTAAATTAATAAATCCCACCAGAACCGTAACTATTCCCGGGATAAAAAGTAGCCTATGTGTTCTTCCAGACTGTGCTCTAAACCTGTGCCAAATTTCATGGAGATCCGTTCAGCCGTTTAGGCTACAAACGCTAACAAACATCCATCCATCCATCCATCTAAACTTTCGCATTTATAATATTAGTAAGATGTAATATTAGTAAGATTAGTAAGATTACTGAGATGACGTATAGAGTTATGTGGAGGAAAAAACCTGTTGCGCCGACCTTACGGGAGTAGGATAAGGAGATGATGATGATGATATTATAGATGCAAAAGTTTAGATAGATGGATGGATGTTTGTTAAGGTGTGTTGAATAAACATAAACGGATCTTAATGAAATTTGGCACACACGTGGGTGATAGTCTGGAAGAACACATGGGCTACTCACTTTAGTTTTTTTTTCTATTCCACTGAGACGGAGTTTGGGGCAATAAAACTAGTATGTTATGAAATAATGCTACAACTAGGGAGGTTTTATGTAACTTCAGTCCTTGATTACTTTGCACGTAAAAAAACACGGACAATTTTGACACCATCACATTTGTGATATTCTATAATCAATAAAATTCGATTTAAACTGACGTCCATTGGAACTACTATAGGTCGGGGTTGCGGACCTAAGAAAGACCATCTACATCTTCAACTACACCACTTGCCACCTGAAGTAATAAGAGATCGGTTGCCCGGTATCTCGGAGACAGCCTACATATTCACCGGAGCGGATGTGTACACGCAACCTGTACCTATTCTTCCGACTGTCCATTACACTATGGGAGGAATACCTATTAACTACAAAGGGGAGGTGAGAGTTCTCAAATATTATTTTCTAAAAATTTTTTGACTTGACTTGACTTGATTTGACCTGTTTTAGTAAAATTTGATTTGACGAGCACTACGCAATTAGGTTAATTAGACTAGCAACATAAATTTTAAAGTATGTATAATAAAGCATATTAAAACCCATAAAAAATTATAGTTCTGAGGGCGACAGATTTCTTTACGATATTTGATTCTATATCTTTAGATATCTTTTTTGCACTGTGAAAGATTTTTGGGTCAAAAATGTTTGGAATAACAGCTAGAGCTGTAAGATACATCGGTGAAAAAACAATTATTTGAAATATCAATTCTGACTCTAGTTCTATCTTGAAGACTTTATTATTTTCTTTTCCAAGGCTCTTATATATCAAGGCGCAGATTGCATTATTCCCGGTCTTCACGCTGCGGGTGAGGCGGTCAGCAATTGTCATGGAGCCAACCGCCTCGGAGCAAACTCCATCCTTGATGTCGTTGTTTTCGGTGCTGCTATTGGTCATAATATTGGTAGCAAGTTTAAGCCAGGAGAAAGTCAACCGCAACTGAAAGATGTACGTCTCGTTGAGATATCCTTTTAATCCACTCCTATTCTTATGACTACACTATTGATGAGTGTACTAAGATTGCTTGATTTTTCATCAGAATATCTGCGATTCAACACTAGACAACCTTGACAAGGTTAGAAACGCAAAGGGATGTGTGGCGCCGCACGAATTGCGCGCCTCAATGCGAAACACCATGCAACATAAGTGCGGCGTCTTCAGAGAGGCCAAGTTGCTGAAAGAAGGTATAACTGTGGGTTTTAATTGCAGTGCCATTTGTATTACATCTACTGTCATCCCGAACAATTTCTTTAAATAAACAACATCATCATCTAAATAATAGATTTCGAATTTCATAATGTTCCATCACTGTTGCAAGGTTGGGCTTCATAGAAAAGAGGCGTAAGTATTGCAGGTCTCCTTTCTTGTTTCTTTCTTCTTTTCTCCGCCAGTTGAGACAATGCTATCTTATGTATATCGGTAATGGTAATTGAAAGACATATTGATTTATTGGTCTTTGTAAACAGGAAACACTGAAATACAAAAGTGGTTCAGAGCTTTTGAACAAATTCATGTGACAGAACAGCGAGTAAACTGGAACACAGATCTGATAGAGACTCTAGAGCTTCAGAACATGCTGCAGGCGGCTATCCAGGTCGTTGCCTGCGCACTGAACAGAACAGAGAGTCGCGGTGCCCATTTCAGGGATGATTTCCCTAAACGTATGGACGAGATGGATTACAGCAAGCCAACCAAAGGACAGGTACATTGATTATTTATTTTTCTTTTGTTTATTTGCCCTTGCGCAAGCTGTATACGAAAAAGAGAAAAATCTTGATGTGTTTGCTAAATTCTACAGACAGTGAAACCAATTGAACAGCATTGGAGGAAGCATAGCCTCTCTATTCCAGACCTGGCCACTGGTAAAGTACACATCTCGTATCGTCCAGTCATCGACAAGACTTTAGATGATGAAGTCAAATTCATTCCACCGGTGCCAAGAGTTTATTAATCATTATTATTGTTGTGATCGATTTGTTTTGACCTTTAACTTGCACTCTCTTAAGTTAAAGCGTACCATTGATTTTGTGAATGTAGACGATTTGTAAATAAAATATTGAATATCTCATATCTTTATTTTAGTTTTCTCTGTGACGTAATCCATCAATTTATTTTAGACTAGCTTCCGCCCGCGACTCCGTCCGCGTGGTATTAATAAAAACGAAAGTAGCCTACGTATTCCATACTATCTTCTACATCTATGCCAATTCCATCCAGACCTGTTCAGTCTTTTAGGCTACAAACTCTAACATCCATCCATCCAAACTTTCACAATTATAACGTTAGTAAGTTTTAATATATTAACACGTTACTATGAAATAAAATAATTTTAAGAGAATTCGTAAACACTATAAGGTAAATACATTTTCTCGTAGCAAAATTCGCCCGTTATTTGTATTTCCACCCCAATCTTTTACTTAAGCGTATCGATCATCCCACTATCCCTCGACTATCACAAGTTGACCTCTTTTGATCCCAACAGCTGCTCCCCTTTGGCCTTATGCATTTTAACTGGAGGGAAGCGGTTGGGGTCAAGACATAATGGGCCTGTTAGACGTGCGTGTTGGCCACACCTTAGCCAGGTGTTTGGAGTTCATCACATCCAATCTGCTAACATTGTCTGTCAATTAATTTATTAGAAAAACGTGTGTTATTTTTGTTCAACAACAAACGGTTAACAGGAACATGTATCTCTTGTTCGAAGTTAAATAGACAATGTAAACAAGTCAGCAGTAATATAGCTTTATTGTAACTACCAGCGTTGCAGTGCTAAAGTTAAAAATCCAAATAAAGTAATGATAAAGTATTATAGTACAAACAATATTTTCGATAGTTGAACGTATAGGGGACAAGTGTATAAACAAGAACAAAGCTGATAGCAATGAATATTTCTAAAATTTGCACCTTTGTTAAAGTAAACTTATCCAATTACGTTTAACCATTCGTTACTGTTTTTGGTTTGTTAACCTAATGAAATGCGTTTCCGAACTATGTAACTTGAGTTTAACTCTGTTTAAACATAAGTCAACCTAACACTAATAAATAATTAGGTAATGATAAAATAAATGAAAAGTTCAGAAACCCATTACAAGTAGTACATTATTAACATCAGTAGAAGTTGCTCCAATACCTTCTTACAAATACCCGTAGGGAAGTAGCCTGTAGGCTATTATAAAAGCTCAATGAAAGCTCTTTGAATAATCGCCGGGGAGGGGCCACACGGGCGGCCCCTCTTGACGCCTTTCTAACGATAAAACTCACTTTAGCTCCCTAATTAGGTGACGCCGTATTTGTTAGCTCTTCATTTAATCTGATAATTCCTTCGTATGATCTTTTATAATCGTTGAAAAAGTTTTACTGTTATTACATTTTTAGATTACTGAGAGTAGAATGAAATTTATAAAAACCTTACCACGTTGTAGCAACCAGCACTTACGTGTAGGATTTATGGCGTCGACACATAGCTTTTGGGTAGAGAAAGTAAAGAAATTGTCGTAGAAGTATGCGTAATTGAAATCTATGTCTACCCCTTACAAAGAGCTTATGTAATAAAGAAAAAAATAATGTTTTAAGTATTTTTCTTAAAAATCGGATCGATGATAGTATTATAATCTATTGCGTTGAGACTCATATAATATTGCTAGGCCCAGCCGTAGCTTTATTCATTGATTGTAAAATAGAGGAGAAACAATTACGTGCCGGGGTTACATTTTGTCTCAGTCTTCGAGAGTGACAGAGCGCATTTATCTTGATTCATGCTTGAGAAATACGTAGGCGTAGTCTGAATCTCCGCGTCAGCGTCAACCTTCACTAAATACTAAACACAAATAAGTCTTCACGATCTACATGAATTTGTCAGCCGCATCGATCAGTTAAATTGGATGAGTAAGGAGAAGTGTAAAGGTAAGGGTAATGTGATCATTAATGCAAGAAAGTAAAATTATCTCCCTTATTAAATCAAATACACAGCTGGAACAATTATTGGATCTAAAATGCTAAATCTTAGATCCAATAATTGATTTAATTTATTTATCGAAAAAGTAAAATGGTTAGAGCAGACACGTATCTTAAAGTGATTCTTGTTTAAAAGTGTTTGAAACATACAATTACTAAGTGAAATTACGATTTAATATATACCGAATTCAGATCGTTCTGTGGTGAAATATTTAAACTATACCAGCTTAATTAAACAACGTTGTTATTTTCTTGAGCTACTGTCCCGGCTAACAAAACATTGTCATATGACGACCATGATGATCATATTCGTCTTATAATTTCTAGTTTTCTGTTCACTTAAATTATTTGCGGTATTCCTAGTAAAACTAGTTAAAACTCGTGACCGTTTTCCGAGTTTGTGCCGAATATCATCGGGCATTCACAAAGGTCGCAAGCAAGGAGGGATGCTGCGGGAACGACTCGGTGACTCTCGGGGGCTGTAGGCGCGCAGGCGAGCTGAAACCACGCCCCTGGGCGTCGCCTACCCCAGACAACCACCCCACCCCCTAGGCAACCGCGACCGGACGGCGCGCCCGCTATTATCCCTGCTTCCTGTCCACGAACGCTCGCTTGCTCCGGACTATCTATCGATTGTTTATTTTTTCCTACAACGCGTAAACAAGACAAATACTCGGCCTTTCCGAGTGGCTGACGAGACGTGTCCGGTACGACGGCGACGAGACGGCGCGACGGTGAGGCGCCGTCGCCTTTAAAATGGACGGTGGTCAACACGCGCGCCTGCGATGTGTTCTGCTCATTGATTGAAGGTAAGCTGATGGCAGTGCACATGTCACGAACCATTGACAATTACTTTCTTTGTTATACCTACTCTCAATTGTTTATTTTTTTTTAATAAATCTCATTTGGACTACGAATATAAAGCGATAACCTGGGATTATTTGTAGATATATTCTATATCCGTCTATTCTTAAAAGTGGCATTTCTGAAAATTAACGTTCTTCGTTACACTTTCTTTGAAACACTGCAAATTTCCCAGTAATTATGAGAAACAGAACCGAAAAGCATTGTATTTAATAATAATTATATTACTTACATGCGGAAGAATTGCAATGCACTTTAAACAGTTACTAAATTCAGGAAAAGGTACTAAGTTAGCGCGTACCATCCTTAGAGTATAACACCCCTTAACACAGCGCTAGATCGCAATGTGCAGGTTTAAAACAGGGCCTGTCCTAAATACGACTAAGAAAACCTGGAAATCAAATCATGCACAAGAGTTTGTAATCTAAACTGCTGAATGGATCTCGATCATATTTGGCACTAGCTGTTCCCATGCGACTATATCCGCATAAAATTATAAAATATCATGTGACATGATATCAAACCATGGCAACCTCGATTCCTTGATGTTGGCAGCAACTTATGGTCTTTTCCCCACGTGAACGGAAGTATAGGGCTTTTTGTTAAAAGAATAGTTATTCAAAAATATGCTGTGATTGCTGACATCTTAGGCAACAAAGAAGTGTGTGTTTACGCTTTATTATATTAGTATAGATAAATGTAGAGCATAGATGGAAGAACACATAGGCTTTTTTTTAATTCCACGCTGCCGAAGACACAGGAAAAACCTACTTTGTAAATAATTTTGAAATAGACGGTAACTACTACTAGAAACAATATTTTCTTGACAATTGTGTAAGCACAGGACTAGGATACATGATTTCTAAGTCATCGCGTTTTTATGTTAAAAATCATAAAAACCAAAAGCACGCTGTGACCTTCAGAAAAACGGATTATGATTCTCAGTTTGTTATTCAATTCTTAAAGAATAATTTTAATAAAAAAAATATACAACTTACACAATAAGGTGTATTAAAGGCAAAACTCATCGCCTTCCAAAGACGCCTTATGGCAAAGACATGTATGCTACAAACAGCTATTGCGATTGTGGGAGAATAACTTATTTTATTGTGTTTAAAATAGAGCAACATTTTCCTAACGAATCGTTTCATCAATGGGAATAGACGTTTTACACTATTGTCACGAAACGCTCGACTTTCCGTTTAATGTATATTGAATAACATAACTAGGTTGAAAGGGATATTGTCTAGTAAAGTAGAACGATTTAATATTTCTATATTTTACATATACATGAGATTTATATTTATTTTTACAACTGCTTATCTATCTAAGTAATACTTAGAAACTGCTAAATGATAATTCTTCTGGCTAATGAAGAGACGTTAAGAACGGACGCACACCTTGGACTAAACTGTCGCACAACTGTTGTGTGATTGTTGATTCTAGATTGTTTCCCAGCAAATTCAGCTGTTTAGTTAAACAAATAAAAATCGAGTAGTCTGCGCATCCTAATAGCTAACAGAAATCAAAGCGCGATAAAACAATTATGCAAAAGTTTAATCAAAAGTGCGCGCGCTGTAAACATTACAAATATCTGCAAAATAATTGACGTGTGGAACTAGATATAATAAATTATTCCTCTCATGTGTTAATTGTGTTTACCAGTTACTTAAGTAAAATTAACCATGAATACAAACAACTAAACAAGACAATAAAAAACGTACTGTCATAAATTTAGCAACATCAAGTTGCTATAAATGTATTCGCCATTATAGGTATGTAAGTACAGTCGGGTACATTAATTAATTCTGGAGTGATTTATGCGAATATTATACAAGCAGTGGGTACAACGGTGCTGACTTCAACCACCCGACTAGATTTATGTCTATATGTTAATAAACGTTGTTGATGAATATACCTTGCCGCTTATCTACCTATCTGCTTATTCTTGATCGAGTATAGTTATGTCCTCTTTGGTACTTATTCGCAGTATCAAGTAGGAACTGGGCACGCCCGCTTCTCTCCTGCTTTTTTTATTTATCCTTTATAAGTCGTTTAATACCCTTGGCAGTTCGACTATCTTAGTATATGGCTTTTCTGAACCCAAAGCGATGGAATCTACATTTTGTATTAATAATATTTACACCGATAAAGCTAGGGCCTGCTCAAAAATGTAGTAAGATGGTGAAAGAGAGATTAACCTGGAGGACAAAATGGTGCACCGACTCTACGGGATATGGACGGGGAGATAATTTGTTTTTTATAACACGTATGTGGTAAAAACTAATCAAAAAACCTTCTGCCCTCATCAATATTTGAATAAGTTCCAGGTATTCTTGAAACTTTTTCTGATACCGATAAATCTGTTTACCCAAGGATTGTAGATACTGAAGTATTTGTTTTGATGCAATAAATTACATAAGTACCGTTTCGTGAGCTCGATTATCCAAAAGATTAGCTTTGCGAAGGGTCAGTATTCGAGTTTCGTCCTAAAAGATGCTCCCTGAACTTACGCTCGGTTGAATCCGTGATTAGTGTTCTTTTCCCGCTGACTTATCAGGCAATTCTTAGCGTGAGTTCGCATTGTTAAAACATTGACATGAGACATGTTGTTTCAGTTATAAAAGACAACGTCAACGCAAACAAGCCTCTAATCCTCGTACTATTAAAGCAATCTCTGCTAAATTGATGATTGCATGTCCCAGTATCTATCACACCTGACTTCCGTATCTCAAGCGATGGAGTTGTTTATTCATAGTCAAGGTCAACTCTATTCTATTGAGCATACATTGTTTTATGAGATATATCTCGTGATGTAATAAAATAAACGTATCGCGTTTAATATATCAACTTCGTTAAGTTTAACTTCCACTAAAGTCGATTTAATTTATAAGGAAGATGTAAATATTAATACTAAAGTAGATGACCGATAATGTCCTTACATTTAAAGAGTTTTAATTAAAAAAAATCTGCATTTGTATTCCATCAAATGTTTACTTAATTATTGAATGAAAGTACATAAATATTCGTAGCTCACCGAACTGGACACATATTGATTGAAACGTTTTGAGAAGGGTAAAGATCGACAGACACCTTTCGACGATAGGCGGACGGGTTTGTCGGCGGATGGCATTTTTGTAGGATATAATAAGGTAATGTACAGACTTCCTGCGCTAAAGTGGCGCGCGCGGCGGACCGGGCGCCCACTTGCCGTCGGTACCGTCCCGAACGAAATACATTGGGATGATTTTTAACTATTCGGCAAAGATTTCAGCGCCATTTAGGATGAACTTTGTATTGCTATTTTGTTACTACATAAAATATTAAATATCAGTAAAAATTATAATAGGAAGTCAAGAAAATATCCAAGGAAATTGAATGTTTGTGAGTGTAATGTTGGAACTACACCGACTAGGAGGTTGTTGCCCTTAATATGTGATGACGACTAGAATGGAAACACAAATACAAAAAAATATTTACGTAAAATGTAAATTAATGCAACAATGTCATTGATTTGAACTGGTATTTTCATATATAACAAAAATGTTTACTCCATATCAAATATCATATATTGCAAATAAGGCTAGGAATTACATCGATAACAAAATAAATATAATTAATATTGTTTAACAGTCAATATCATTCGTAGTTGTAATATTATCAGTTCTTTTAGATGTTTAAGGGCCTGTCCCGTCAAATTGTAAATTGTCTGACAACAATGTAAAATTTAAAATATGTGATGGAATCTAAGGCTCTATCAGCCAGTGGTGGGACAGGCCCTAAAACAAAGTGTTTTGTCCTTGACTGTACTTGACCAAATGAGAATTAGAATGTTAAATGATATTTTCGCATCAGCATTTTTTCGTCTTTTAACTCTTATATTACTCATAATATAGAATTTAGGTGCATTAAATCCTACCGTACAATTACATGTTTCATATTTCTTTACAACAATTAGTTTTTAATCAGTAAGACTAAAACAATATTGTAACCTCTATTTTTGTGGTGTATATACATACACACCCTTGTCCGCGACCCCAGCTAATTTTATGTGGTCATGTGGTCGAAGGATAGTTTTGTATGTTTTTTAAAAAACATCCAAATAAAATTGTTATACTTTTGGTAATATTAAAAAAAAACACAGTAGATAGCGTCCCTGGTCAAATTGTGCAGCAAATATAAATTTATTATGCGGCACATTTCCCTTATGCCGGATGTAATCAATTTGAGCGCTCTAGCGCATTGCGCGGGCGCGTAGTGTACAGTGCTCGGAAGGCCGCCGGCTGTCCTCTCTGGTCCACTAGAGAGTGTGTCAACACAGCCACTACCAGACCCCTCATTCTTCTCGATAACTCTGATAGGACATCTTACAGACTTTACTATTCCTTGGAGTATCCCTAAAAATTCTGGTTAATTTCCTGAGATTTTAAAGTTCACTTTTCTCTAACATGATTCTTTACCAAATCTGAACAAATTATAGTGAAAATATAATGTGTAGTTATGGTTTGAACGTTTAGTAAATGAAAAGTAAAGTGCTGGTGTAATTTATAAGGGGGAAAGTGGTATCACGGAAATGTGATACCACTTAAAAGCATCACCACGGAAAACACCAAGAAAAAAGCCAAGCGACAGAAACGAAAAAGAATATCAGATATGAGGTGAGAGATTAACAAATTATATACCTATCTGATATCCTAGAAAGTTATTAATCTATGGTAAACAGAAAAACAACATAATTATATAAAAACATTAGCTTTTAATTTAAAATAAACGAATAGGAATAACCCAAAGTTACGTTAAAGCAATTGAAATTTGTTAAAAAACGGTTTTTGATTTATCGAATACTTCAAAAAAATTCGTAAATTATCAATACGATAGAAAATAAACGAATAAAACGTATTGTCTGTTGCAAAATATGCAAATATGCTTGACTTCTACATTCCCTATTTTTTTTTTCAAATGAACTAAGTTTGAGAGACTGTTTTTGTAAATTTATTTTAGCAGTGGCGACTTACGCTAATAGTGCTGTTGTATCTTATCGGAACCTGACAATCTAATGTCATCGCATTGTACCTGTTTAATTGGCATCGCCGCCCGCTTTTCCGGGAAGGAATAAATTGTTTCCTACCGTTTCGTAATGTGGATGCCCCGATTGAATGACTTAAGATGTCATTTTATAATCCTTCTATATATTTAAGGACCGAATAGAAATGTTAAACAGTAAAGTTAGCCATACAACTAAAGGATAACAACATTTAAATAAACCAAACGCACTTGACCATGAGAAGCTGTGTGGGGAAGTCTAACAACTGCATGATTATTAAACGAGAGCAAACTTCATTCAGGAAAAGACATATAAGTATAGTCTAACAAGAACTTGATATAGTATAACTATATCTAATAAGTGATAGTGAAAAAGCGTTAATAATTTATCTTCTTTTAACTCCATTATTCAGTTTTTAAACCAATTAACAATAATAATTTTCAATGACATTGTAATTTAATGCAAAGCATAAAGATATGCAAATACATTAGAAATATTTTATCCATCATGCAAAAAATATAAAGATTGTTTTGAATATCAATTACTATTGCAGTTTCAATCGTATTTCAATACTTCATTGTATTTTATTAAATGTATTTTAACACCTACTGCAATTAACTTTTTGTTTTTGTCGTAGGATCGATTACCGCGGAGTGAAGTGTGCCACAGCGCTGCGTTCGGGTGTCAAAACTGCAATGTACGAAAGCAGCTGTTCGTATGCCGGAGCTCTGGAATTGAAGAGAAGTGCATTGAAAGAGGAACCATGGCCGGCAACAGAATGGCCGCCGTATCGTCTCCATCAGAGTACCTTCGAGCAATTGAAACAGAGCGTAGAGAAAGCGAAAGCAGCTTTACAAGACAGGTCCGGACTCCTGGGTACTGCGACAGCGTTCGGTGATTTTTACGGTGGTCAACTAGGGCAGGATGCTACCAGTACAACTCTGGGTTTCGGCAGAACTAGAACGGATGAGAGCATGCTGGGATCAATTGATAAAAACAAAATTGGTAAGTTGTGAATAGAGCTTTTATTCAAATGTTTTTGTTAATGCATAACGCGAACGACTATTAGTTTTAATATTATTTTTTCTTGGTTACAAAAAATAAATTACGTTTCAACACTTTTCTGTTGTCTAATCTCTACGTTTGGTAGCAACATCTTCAAAAACTTGTTCCGCAAAATTTAGTTTATTCTATTGAAGTGCGGATGTTTCCTAGCAGTAGGTCTCTGACATTTGTTTTTGTACACGTTTATTAGCAGTGAAAACCCAGGGCAACAGAATTATGGTGTTATTGCGGTTAATTATGTTTGCTTCTGTGCGAAGGTCAAGTAATTAATCCCATTATTACTATCAAATGGAGAACAAAAAACCTGTCTGTCATAATTTAACATAACACACGAGTTCAGAGGACTATATTAACTAATGTTTTTTATATATTTTATGACGTCACAGTTATGAACCGTGGGGTTATTGAGGGTATTATGTAAATTCCAAATAGAACCCGTCGCAGATTCTGTCGTTAACAAAAATATGTTTTGAGACACAGATTAGTGCATCTAAAAAACTTAACTATAGCTAGCAGAATACTAGCATTGCCCATATAGAGCGCAATGAAACACAAAAAATTCCCTGAATGTTTCTTATTAACAATCGAGTTATTTTTTTATGATATATCGCCGTTATAGGCAAAATAACTTAAGCCTTGTTTCTAGTGATTGTTGTTTCAATTGTATCAAACCTGATAAATTCTCGATAACTCGATAACTCGATAACTCCTTGTCAGAACCAAACACTTAATAAAGACTAAGAGATACTTAACAAAGGTAAAATAGCATCACGAAAAGTCCATAATGTTTATCATAAATCATTATAATTTTTAATATCACGACATCGAATGGAGTACATTTTGCAAAATGTTAGTCCCGGATAAGTATGACTACGTAGCTTTTGCTGAACGTTAGCAGGTAACCTCGAGGCATTAAATTTAACACCCTCCGCTGTACGAGATATCGCCATTTTAAGGTCCTTTGTAACCGTCGTCAAATGATATTCCATGAGACACGGTACGACGTTACAAAAGAATAAAAATCGATTTGTACTCGCGAGAGCTCGGCTGTTCTGAATATGCCTCTACGGTGAAGACGTAAAGCTGTATTCGCTTCAGTCGTAGCCGGGATTTGAACCCTTTGGATGAGCGACTCTAGGTATTGAAGCAAAGGTGGGGAGCGAGCTTCTTCTAAAGATAACAATCGTTGTCGAGGGAGAAAGATGGGGGCGTGCGGGACGCGACACCCCGGGTCGCTACGGCAACGCTCCCGCCCACACGCCAGCCAGATCATCCCATCGCTTTTTGATAAATACTAATGAAAATATTTTTTTATCATCTACGTACAGTTTATTACTACTGGGGATAGATATCCCGCATTTTAACGAGGGCGCCACTGTAGTGGTTTTGGGTAAAGTTTCAGAGATTACGTTACAGGCCAATACGTTCATTGAAAGATTTTTTCTTGGGTTGTCATATGAATGGCACCCATTCCATGTAGACTAAAGATATTTTCATTTAGTTTTACCGTCACACTCTTAATTACATGAAAGAGCTGCACTGACTCACAAAAAAAGAATAAAAAAAACTTCCATGTCCGAGTAAAATAAAATAAATGTATAAACACATCTTGATGTGTGTTGTAAAAGAATCACATATAAGCCACAAAAAAGATTGCAAACACATTAAAAAAAATACATACAACCGCAAAAAATAAATCTGGCAACTGTCAAGCAGACCGCAATGGAGAGAACGTAAAAAATATTTTCGAGAGCATATTTCAGACAAACGGGAGTCTTTCATTCCGCATCGCGTCGGGGAATAAAAGGTTTCACTATGTTCCGAGACCGAGAGGCGATATAAAAGAGTTGCGAGATAATGGGGCCGTTCTATCAAGACAATGGACTTTTTTTTCATTAAAAAAATCTTTTTGCGAAAAAAATGTTAATTCGGTGCGAGTAATTGTAGAGGCGCTGCCATCGCCGTGGCTCTTTCCCGCCTACCGCGTGAAAGACCTCGATTAAAATGCTCATGTTTTAGTTCAATTTCAGAGGAAAAAGAAACAATTAAAAGAGACCTTTTGACGATATTGTTTTATTCTCTTTTATTATTTTCACGAGGCTGTAAACTGGATCATTGAAATGAAAATTTAAAGTTTCATTTTTAATTCCACTTAAACATTTAAATTGTATTGAGATTATTTCTTATTATAATAAGATTGTGTTTTTTTGGTATTCCTAATTGTTAAGTTATAATATCATTTGGGCTATTAAATGGGCGTATGTAGCAGGTATAACAATTGCAGTACTAATGCCACATATAAATTCTAGGGTAACCTATAAATCTTATAATGCAAAACAAAAATATAGAGTGAACTCCAAGAAAACAAATTCAAACGTAACAAAACAAACACTACGGAACATTTTCCCCGTGTGCATTAATTTTGTAGAACCCCTTAGACAACCGTCGACTGATAAGTATTTGAGCGAGCCAAGAATACAAAATAAGTAGAAAATAGGCAGAGTTCAAATATATTTACATAATATTCAAATTAGTGCGAAAATCTACGCTCGACTGTACTAAGGGGGGACAGCCCTAATCTCCCAATGATTAGAAGCTACATATTAAAATTTATAAGCCCCCAAGCGCTGAGTTAAAGAGTTGTTAACACGAAAATTATTGTAATACGCCCCTGTCGACAGCAGAGATAGATAGCGTATGTTATTTATTACAATTATAATAGCATTTCATATTTATCGTTTTATTCGTTTGAGCCACTGCTTTTTAGATATTTGTGTAATGAAAACTTACTAACTATTGCAATTAGACCGGTTTGTAGGCCCCTTATTTTTGATGCAATATTTATGTAGTTTACTAAAGTTACTATAATGTAACCCGAATTAAAGATTTCGTCTTGTCAAAAGAAACGACCATTAGTAAAAATGATTCAATTCAACAACAATGATTAAATATCATATCAAGGGTCTTTCCGACACTCGACGTTAAATTATATCAAAATACAAAATGTATAGTTAGTATCTTCAAACAAAAGAGGCAGACATCATACTCTACATTGATCTTACTAATTTTACAAATGCTTGGGTAGATAGATGCTTGTTAGCATAAGATTTCAAAGGATCTGATTGAAATTTTCCACATGAGCAGTGAAAAAGATACGAACATGAAGGAGAAGGATGCGCTCGGGAGAATATGAAGGAAATTAAAATAAAAACTTAAAATGAAAATTTACATACAAAAGGGAAAATTATAACAGCCTTGCAACCGTTGTTAGATTTTATTGAAGAATCCACAATTATTTACAAAGAAGAAAAAAATTTAAAATTTACGTTCTAATTTCAATATTCTATAAAAAAGTAAAAATATATCAAAAAGGCTTATTGCATCGCCAACAAGTATAGATAGATTATTGTCTAGAATAATGGATAGTTTACTTACTAAGGGTGAGTTGCACCATATCGCCGGTTACCGTTAAAGTTAAATTTATTTGTAACGGTAATATTTGGAATAACCTTAAAATTTACTAAGGGTGAGTTACATTAACTAACTATAAACCTTAACCAGCACCTTCCCGATGGTTACGTCTTCGGATGTTCATGATATTCGCTTCACCAGTTTTGCGCTGGTTAAAATGACGTCATATTTGACACTAATCATAACCGCCCGATTTTGCGCGGTTATAGTTAGCGTTACGGTTAGTGTCAGTTCGGTAGTGTCAACTGTCACAAGCTCTTATCTTCAAAAGTACAAATAATGGAAAAAGTAATGGAAAAAGGAAATCTCTACTATTATCCTATACGTAATCCAGAAGAATAAAGTCTTGCGTGCTCGGAAATAATGGATTTCCAAGATGGAACTCGAAATTTGGCCAAACATTCAGTTTGGACAAATTTCGAGTGTCTAAGGCCATAGCAACAGCGCTTGTCCCTTTTCTCTTATTTAAAAAAATGTCCTCCATAAAAGGACAATTTATAATATGCATTGACAGGACAATTTATAATATGGAAAATAAATAAGATGCATTTATATTTGTATAATTTTATTGCTTCATTTTTGCTACATATTCAAGTAGTAAAGTAAATACAGTTTCAATAATGGCCCAAACTAGTTTATTTTCACAAAAGTTTGCCATTTTCTCCATCTCCGTGGGCAAAAAGTTTGTCACTATAAAATACCATGCGTATGATACATAAATATATACGGCGAAACATGAATTTCCAAACATTTTAATTTACGTAAATGTCATTCTTGACACCAACTTGACACTTCAGTGACATTCAGGTTTAAATGTTTCCATTGTAAAAACGAAAAATACATAAAACCTCTGTGAGAATATGTTTTTGCACTTGTAACCCTATTAACTATAACTATAACTTTTACGATAACCGGCGATTCGATGCAACTCACCCTAAGTTTTGTAAACGAAGTACCGGGCTTAAGCTCTTCACAATTTACACAAGTAACATAAGCCTGATATTCACATGTTACACGCAGTACATTAATTTTGTACAGGGCGGTATTTGAGATCGTTTGCGCGATAAAATTATATCAATAAATAATAACGAAGTGGTCCCGATACCACAATATTGATTCCGTTGTAATGTTTATCGCATAAGCCAAATGGTTGGGGGTTTGTTCTACCATTAATATACATTAGTGTGTACGGAAGAACGCACCGAGCACTTTCTATTAAAACTTATCGTTAAATTGAAAAACTATGTTAAAACACTTATATATTAAAATACATGTTAATAACTTCTATTCTAATTAAAGTATTATATCAATTCAGGGAACAAAGATTTATTAAATGAGGATCAACATGTCATTAGATAAGATGTAATGAAATAACTCACAAATTTCTAGGCCGATTTCAAAAAATCTTTCACAATTAGAATTTATAAACATTTTTTAAAATGCCGCTCAAAGTAAGTTGCGTGCAAAAGCTAGTATCAAA